GCATGTGTGTATTTTTGCATGCATGTATCTATGTAAGTAACTATGCATGTATGTATACATAGTTATGTATATGTCTATGTATATATATATAGGTTGTGCTTGCTTCCTTGGATGTTTGTGTGTCCGTTTGTATGTGGTATGTGTGTGGCTTTACTGGCTTCTGCATTTATATGTCGTGCACTATGTAGGTAGGTAATGCACATATGTTTTGCTGTGGTTGTTGAGTCTGTTGATCTTCGTTGTGTCAGGAAAGGAGGGGCAAAGAGCAGCGACCTGAAAACCGAGTACGACAACATGTTGTCTACCTTCCGAAAGGACCGACTCGTGCTTTCTTGGCTTGGGGAAGCTGGTTGGCTTCTGTCTGTGAAGCAGGTTGCGACTGTGCATTGTAGCGACCGACGGCCCGCATCTCTCTCTCTCTCTCTCTCTCTCTCTCTCTCTCTCTCTCTCTCTCTCTCTCCTTCTCTCTCTTTGGTCTGTGGTGCCTGTTCGCTCTGAGACAGTACAGTACAAGATTGAGTTGAAGTCCGGCAGACCGGAGATTTCGATAGTTCAGATTGAAGGATTCGTCAGCTCATTGATGGGATCACCGTGCCCGCAGGCTTTTCTTTATCAAGAGGCTGCTGGCAGTGAGGGCAGCCATGCAACAGCCCTTTGGGGCCGAGTTCGCTTATGCCCTTGGGACGGTAATCGCCCCATACTGCGAGGCGATGGTGCAGCAAAGGTCCACTGCTGCAATGGCTTCGTTCGTGCAGAACCTGAGGCCGGAGGAGGTGACGCAGGGCACGGACGATCGCCGCCAGCAGCAGCAAATGCTGTACGAGCACGCAGATCAGCTGATGCAGCAACACATGCAGGCTACAGGGGCGATGCCGGTGCAGGCAAGCGAGAAGCAGAAGCAGGGCATGGGCGAGGGATCCAAGCCGCAGGATGGGCCCAAGGCGACGAATCCTACGCCTCCGGCCGATGCGAGCCCATCGCAGCAAGAGCAGCCGAAGATCACGGTGGATCCACCTCCTTCGAAGGGCCATGCAAGAAAGGTGGCCAGGTACAGGACGGAGGGCGGCACCTTGGAGGTCTTCCTCCGCTTTGTGCCGAAAGGCTGTGAAGCAGTCGAGCCGGCCGTGATTGAAGGGCAGGGCTCTGATGCCCCAGTGCCGGGCAGTGCTCAGGCCTCAAGCTTTGTGCCACCGCCTGCGAGTACGACTACGAATGCACCGCCCCCGCCACCTCCGCCGCCCGACAGCCCGCCGCACATGGAGTCCAGACCGAAGGTTCCGTCGCCAGCAGCACCGCCCAAAGCTCGGCCGCAGCAGTCCACGCCGGGCGAGATCGTCGTGCTGCCGAAGCTTGTCAGTGTTAAGTTCATATTGTGGTAAGAATCAGATTCAATCCGACCTGTTCTCGGTGTCGTTCCCATACAACAGAAAGAGGATGAAAGCAGCCTTTCTATCTGGCGACAAGCGATGTGTTTGCAGTCGTGACAAACTGAACTCAATTAATTATGATTCTTGTTGAGGTGAAAATATTTTCACGAATGTAACTAGTTAGTAATTAGTAAGCCCGATACAAGATGATGCTGATTCGAACATCTTGTTCATATCCACATGAACCATAACCCCCTCAGCTCCAACTGACGTGCACATACACAACCATATGGAGCTCTCAAGTCTATCAGGCTTGCCTATGTTTCGTTTTTGTAGCTCCACTTGTCGTCGTAGTTGCAGGTTGCCATCACCAACAAGGTTTGTTGGCCCGAGCATGACCGTCCATGACTGTTTGTGTTGAATGACCAGCCAGCTGTGCTGTTCAAACACGATTCCTAGCTGAGCTGTGCACACAGGATGCATTTTCTCAAGTTACATAGTTCCCCAGTCGCACATACACATAGTATGTATATATATATATATATATATATATGTGTGTGTGTGTGCATATATGCACGTGTATGATTGAAAGTAGGAGTCTAAAGACTATTCCAACGAATTAACCCTGTAAGCAACAGCAACACAACAATACCCCAGTTGAACAAACATGTATATACACACTCAGTAAATACATGCATACCTACATACATACTTATATAAAACACATACATATAAATATGTGTGTATATATATATATATATATATATATATATGTCCAGATGTATGCATGCATGTATGTAAGTAGGTATGTGTGGGGACTTGTGCATGTATGTATGTACGCATGTACATCTATAAATCTTTTCGATACACACAAACACATATACATATACATATACATGTACATTTACATATACTTATATATATACATATATACACACATATATATATGTATGTCTCTGTGTGTCTCTGTTAGACATACATGTATTTTTTCATCAGGTCTGTGTATGTAAGTACAAGTATATGCATACATATAGTTACATGGAAACATATTCGTTGTAAACCTCTCTTGGTGTTTCTTTGGCAACTGAGGGGCGAGAGCAAGCGACAAGCAGAGCAGCGGCACTTCGGCAGCGACCGCAAGCGATCCCGTGGCGGCCAGTATCGGCATCAGTGGTGAGCTGTTGTCGCCAGCGGATTCTGCTGTACAGAAAGCAGAAAGAAGCTGCCTCAAATTTTGATGTTCACCCTTGGCTAAGCTTGGGACCCCTGGGCCTTGGATACAAAGGAGAGCCGATCTTTGTTGGCATAGGTAGCAGCCTTCTCTTGTGGTTTTGCTGAGTGCTTGAAACTGATCTGCTCCAGGACGCCGAGGAGGATATGAAGAAGATGGCAGCCAGGACCCCCGCCAAGGAAGGTGAGGGCAAGGAAGAGAAGCCGGAAACCCCGGCATCGAAAAAACGCCGTGTTCGGAGACGCCTCTTCGAGACCCCCAAGAAGGAGTCTCCGGCCGCAAAGAGTGAAGTCTCGAACGGGGATGACTCGGGCGAGGATGGTGATCTGTTTGCAGGCAGGTTTCGCCTCAAAGCCAGCAGCAGCTTGCCAGCGAAGCGAGAGGCCCTGAATCGTGTGCCGTCCCGGTCCAAGAACAAGAGACGCCGGGCAGGGAGCAGTCCTGGACCCAACACCGGCTCCAAGGCCTCCGAAGCTACCAAGCATGAGGATTTTGAGCCTGAGGATGGCCCTGCTTTGGATGTCAAAGAGGAGGCTGAGCAGGCGAAGAAGCCTGCACCAGCCCCGCCGCCCCCCTTGCAGCCTGCCAGCGAGGTGGACTCCGAGGTCTTGCAGTTCCTTCCCAAAGGTCTTGCCGAGTGACTTGGTTTATGTATTCTCTTGGTGCCCATGGAGTGCAGACATGTCCTCGTGTTGTTAGAATAAATGCAATTCTCGTGCAACAAAGGCCAGATATTGCCATCATCATCGACATCTTGATTTCAGAGGACCTGCTGACGATGCAAGATTGCCAGGAGAACTTGGCGGATCTGGAGACGAGCAGCTCGGCTCTCTTGGGCACGTCTGGATTGCCTTCTTGCAGCATTGACAGTGCCATCTCAGGCGATGTGCTTTCCATGCTGGGGGCAAGTGGACAAGCTTTGTTCTCCAAGCTCACGATCAAAGGGAAGCGAGGATTTTTGGGGTGGCCAGCAAAGCTGAAGGCCAGGAGTTTCCTACATCAGTTGTGCTTTCCTTGTCTCTGAGCGACGGCAGGCTCTCACGCCGCCGGAGGAAGCCGTGAAGGAAGAAGTGAAGGAGGAAGAACCTTTTTCCGCAAGCATGTGTGGTAGATTCATTACATTCTTAGCATGTCGTGAAAGTTCAAGTTTATCTAAGGAATGATCGTGGACCGAGTGCTCCTGGTGCCGTGTTTGACTCGCAGCTCAGTGCCCCTGGACGAAAAGGAGGAATTGGTTTTGTCGTAGTGCGAGCTGACACATGTTGCTTGCTGCATTTCCTGTGTGCACGCAAGCAAAGTCAGAGGTCAAGGCTCAGCATTTGAAACTTCTGTTGCTTGACACGATACCATGGCTGCTCGCCCCTGGCTTTTCAGGCATGGTGCTCCGAGTTGCGACAGTATTAGTAGAATCGTAGAATCGAAGTTGCATGGTCCGGCGGATTAGCCGCCACGCAAAAGCCGAAATCGCCATTGCAAACACATGCATGTCTAGGAAATTTTTCAGTTCACAACACATCCGACTGCCGTCGTGTTAGCTATGGCTGTCCATGGGATCTGACACGCCAGCTGTGTCGAGGCTGTGAAATCTCCGCTGAAATACGAATCGTGGTGCTCCGGGATTTTCGTTTCGGGCGGGTCCAAATCCGGTCCTGGGTTGTAGTATAGTTTAGAAGGGAAGCCGGGGTCCCGGCATTTGTCCGTTCCACTTCAGAACACGTTCTGCATCATTTACACGTTCTGTATGGCCAGTTATACTAAATTTGAACGTTCTGCATGGTGTGCAGGTGACGATTTTTTCGCCTCCCGATCGCCATGTGCCCCAGGCCCAACCGCTGAAGTAGAACGATGAAACACATAAATGCCTAACGTGTGGAAATTTGGAATGCTTCAAGGAAAACCCACGCTTAGATCGTTCTGCTTCAGGAGCCACCAACGTTCTACTTCAGCTGTACCACACCGACCACCTGGTCACCAGGAGGCCAGCACCCGCACGCTGATGTAGAACTCAGCCCAGTTTTGTGGAATGGTGTTTTGCCAAACCGCCATGTGGAATGCAGTGCCAGGCCATGGAGTTCTGGTTAAAGAACAGGATAATTACAAGAAATGGGGAGGCAAGACTTTCTCCGTTCTGCTTCAGAACAACGTTCTGCATCAGTTTGTAGCTACAACACAGTGACCCATGGTGTGGCCCAGGACAGAGGACCCCGTCGAAAAGTCCAAACTTCGAAACAGCTTCCTGGACAAGCTCCGCTTCCTGGACAACAAGACCAAAGCGGGGAATACGCTGGAGGAGAAGATGAAGTTCCTCTCGCCCAAGGATTGGGAGGCCCTTTGCACAGTAGTGGTAGCACCGTTCGAGATGTGCAGCACCCCGCCAAGTCTTGGCAGGCCGTCCTTGACAAGAATCGTGCTTTGGCTGCCGGTGTGGGCCTGTACGTCAGGCCTCATCTTGATCTGGAGGCAAAGCCCGAGCCTGCCGAAGAGCAGGCTTTGGTTGTGGTTGCAGAATCCTCTGTTCCGCAGAAAGAAGCCCGCCCGGACCCGGTGGAATATGCTCGAACCGACATATTTTATCTCCGAACGACGGGTGGCCAGAAGGGTGTCTTTCAAGTTCACAAAGCTCCTCGTCCTGGGGGATTTATGTAGAAGCATCTATGTGCAATACGGACACATGAAATTCTGCCATCGTTTCACCAAGGTGCAACAGCAGGACGCCTCGGAGGGCTATGTTCATATCTTCAGGGTCAACGAGGTGTGGCCATTGTTGAGCAGGGCACAACCCTATCACAACTGGTACACCAAATTGCGACCTGGCTTTCCCAGCCCGCATACGGCCGCATACGCTTCCGCAGGTTTCCGTGGCGAGCAAGATTTGGTATCTGTGTGTATGCACATAATCGAGGCAAGACAACCTCACAGCCGAGATGTCCGAGGAATGGCGGATTACAATTTCGGCCCACCTGCTGAGGCCAACGCAGTACAAAGGGAAGCAAACAGTTGCTTCAGAACAGCGACTCAAGCTGCCTTTTGACGGAGCCACTGCTCTTGGTGTGATGTTCATGGTTTTTTCCTCAGTCAGCAATGAACGGTTTCTTGTCTGTTGATGATCACTGTTTTGTTTTTCCAATGTAGATTCTGAGGCTTGCAGTGTCCTGCAGATTCGTGGCTGCAAGCCAGTTTTGCAGCAGGGTGCCTTACTTGTGTTGGAGACCATCATCTCCAGCTCAGCTCCGGCTGATTTGGAGCTGAACCTGCTGCCGAAGATACCAGCTTGCAGCTCTGCTTCACTACGTGCAACCCCAACCAAGTTTTTAGCAAACCAGAAAGCCAAGGCAAGATCGTCTGCCAGGGCTCGGAAGTGGACCTGCAGAGCCTCGAAGCCTTTTTGGGTTTCATGGATTGGATGCCAAGGTGGGTTTCTTCTTGGTCTTGAATACATATCGTGTTTCAGTGCCGATGGGAGGTGGCAGAAGTCTGGTTTGCTCTCGCCCACGCAGAAGAAGCTTCAAGGAGGACCGAAAGCCCTTACTTTCAGGTTGCTAAGTTTCGCAGGAGTTTGTTATTGTGATTGCCAGGAGTGAGGCTGCCCCTCCTGGTCTTCTTTATCCTGCGAGCCCCACTCAGCGACGAAGTTTCTGAGGCCAAGGGGCTGGCACGCACGACCAGGCTGTTGCATTAGGGCAAGCGGTTGTCCGCTGCAGGGACAAGTTCGAGTCGGACGAGTCCAAAGACGTTTGCTCCATTTGCTGTGCCAAGCCATGGAAGATAATTTTCAGAGAGTGCTTGTTGACAAGATACCCCTGCCAACAGCTGACGACAAGTTTCATCCGGCAAAGACGTGGCCTGGACGGCAAATAGCCGCCTTATTCTGTAATCCCAAGTTTCGCTCGAGTCGCATAGATCACCAGAGAATGTGAATGATACGCTATGCATGACAGTGCTTGCTTCATGCTCATAATCCCAATCCGAGGGACGGACGTGCCCTGAAGAAAGAGGTGAAGCTTCGGAACCTGATGGCCTTGGACCGATTCTTGAATCGTTCCAGCGGCTTTGCCTCCAAAGCTGCCGATCAAAGCTTGGTCGAAATGGGACTCCAAGAACTCAGCCCGTCCCATTACCACAGGCAGGTGATGCACTTGTGTACTGGGGTTGCCGTTCCCTTGGCCATGAAGCTTGTTTTGCCTGCTGCCAGATTATCGTGCGATTTTGCATTTCGTTTCTTTCGGCGAGCAGCAACGGTCCTCCACGAGGACCGATGCAATCATACGCAAGCACATAAGCAGAATGTGAATTCTTGGCTTCAGATGCTTCAGGAGCTGAAGGAGCAGAGGTTCCGGTCCCTGAACCTCATATCCGATGCCAGCCCGAAGGCTCGAATGGACGTTCCTTGAATGCCGAACGTTGTGACAGTTTTTTGGGTGTGCGACTAATTTCTGAGAGCGATGGACCCGAGGTTTGGCTACCCCTCGTGACCGTGGACAGGACGATGGCACCGTGGGTTTTGCAACGTCTCTCGGACTTGCTGCCTTCTACAGCCTCTACGGAAACGAAAATGGAGGAGTGCCAAAGGCTTGCAGACCAGGCAGCACAGGCCGACAGCAAGCAGGCTACGGCACGCAAACTGTGCCCTGGCGGCAGAAATCACTTTGCACCTTGCCAGTATAATCAGTATAAGTTAGGTAAGCACAGGAGAGTACAGTAATTGAGGCCGAAGACGATATCGAAGATCAAGCAGCAACGATTGTCTACGAGAGAGCATCTGAAAGCTGTCATCCATTCGTTGGACCTGCTGGAGTGTGAGCTGCAACCCCCGAAGCAAACACTGGCCGGTGCACGGCCACAGGATCACGTCGTCGTGGAGCAGTACGACAACAAGTGGTCTTTCCGTTGCAACACACAGTCTGGAGAGTCCGAGTGGCTCTGTGTGGACAAAAAACTTCTTCGTTTGGTTTTGCAAGGAGACCAAGGTGGCCCGCTTTATTCGGGCTACCAATACCTCGCCGGGAAAGGTTTTGCTGTGTCCTTCATCAGAGACGAGTCGTGCCTTGGATTCGAGTAGATTTGGTAACAACAACAACAACAACAACAACAACAACAACAACAACAACAACAACAACAGCAACAACAACAACACACAGGACGATTGCAAATTTTCGATGGTTCCCACAGTTGTGTGCAGTGACATTGAGGCACAAATTGCAGAATCACTTTCTGAAGGTTGTCCACTGCACAGCTGGAATCAGACGCCCCTTGTCTCACTGGAAGATGAGTTATGTTCTAGCAACAACATAGCAACCTGTTCGTCTTGCTTAGGTTGCCACATGCTCACAGGGTGGGTAATGAAGGCACGGAAGAGCCCGTGGCACACTGGCCGCATTGGGGAAAGCTGGCGAGCTGCCGGGCTTCGCTATCTTCAAATCGCCTCTAGACTGAAACTATCGGGGCTCCGGTGTTAGAGATGTTCTGAAGCATTCTGGCAGAGCATCTCAGGCTCAGCCAGACGATTGCTTGATGCAGCTCTTTGGCCCAGCTATCCTTGAGGAGACGCCTATCTGCAGTGTGTCGATCGGAGATTGAGGTTTTTGCCAAACTCGTCGTAGGTTCCTCAGATTCTGAGAAAGAAACCATGGTCCCAGGAATGGCTTCAGTTGCAGCAGTGACCCTCTCTTGGATTTCGATCGGATCGTGACGGTGCTACACAAAATTTGCAAGTGCCCTCGGCTGCAATGAAGAGATGCTACCTGTTGAACTTTTGGTTGAGTGGGAGCTGCAACCGTGATTGCTGAAATTGGAAAGAGGCGAAATGGGCCCATCCACAAGGAAGGGCGATGGTGCTCCTGGGCTTTCTGTGCAAGGGCCTTTGCCGGACAGTTCTCTGGGACTTTGCTGATCCTTACATGGGGTGGCATGGAGGCCCGGCGACAACATGTGAAGCTTTCGGTGGCGGTGGCACGGTTGTGGTGTGAGTCCTAGGCGAGGTGGTTTTGGCGGTGGGGGGGGATGTGGTGGTGGGGCGGTTGTGGGTGGTTGGTGAGTGGCGAGAGGTGAGCAGTAGGGGGTTGGTGGGGTGGTGGGTGCTGGGTGGTGACGGTGATGGGTGGTGGTGGGTTCTGGGGGTTTGAGTGGTGTGCTTGTGTTTGTGTGGGTGTGTGCGAGATGCTGTCGGCTGCAGGTGGGACAGAATCCCTTCACGACAATGGCAGGAATTGAGAAGAAAAAGGCAGCAGACGCCGACCGCATTGTGGATATCTGTTTGAAGGACCGCTTCCGCTCGTGTCCCATAACTCCGAAGCATGCAAGGGAACCTTTGTTCAGAGTTGCAGGCATTGTCGGACCCAGAAGTTCAGGGAATGTTCGGTGCACTGAAAGACCTCTGTGATCCTTTCTGTTCGATGGCTAAATGGCTAGCTGCTGGGCCGAAAGTCTGTTCATGCAGTGCTTCGCATGTGCTGGGGCAGCCTGTGTTCACCGGTCTGTTGCATCTAAGCAAAAGAGCAAAGCAAAAGAGCGGGCTTTGCACCGGCACACGCTCTTCTGCAATTCTGCAAAGTATGGAGAGCAGATGAAGGGGATGCTCCAAACCGCCCTCGCTGTGGGAACTGCTGCCAAGATGGGCATCGAGCCTGAGTTGAAGTGTGAAACTGTGAACGGCGAGTCTGCGACTTGGCCACAGTCACAGACACATGTGTCCCTGGAGTGCACTTAGGTGCCCTTTCGCAGTAGATCCTGAGATCAGTAAGTTCAACTCCACGTCTATAATAGGGCTAGTGAAAACACGAAAACCAGTTTGATCTGAAACGTGTGTCGGAAGTTTAATTGATCTCTATCTTGTGCGGCTAGTCCGCACACGGGCGGGTCTCCGCCGAATCGTGCGATTTCAAGCCATGTGACAAAGCAGTGTGCGGCTAGTCCGCACACAGATTGGCCGATTGGCGGCCCTCTGACGAGCCGATAAGCACAAGTAGAGCAGTGTGCGGCTAGCCCGCAAACGGATTGGCTGCCCTCGTTTTGTGCAGTCTCAACATACCAAACAGAAACAAGGTAATTGGTTTTGTAACTTTCAAACAATGAGAAGGTTAGAGAACTCACGCCAAAATCGCCCACGCATGCATCTTGCAGGTCGGACCGATCGTAAACAGTTTGTACAAGTTTTGCTTTAAAGTGAGCACGGAAACTAGGGGGACCCCACACTACATTGAAGTTGAGCGAGGCGAAAGTGTGGCAAATTGCTGCAAGCGAGTCTCGCACTTGAGTCAGTATCTGCTCCCGTGATCAGGGATTGGGGTCCGGATGCTTGGTGGTGCATGTGAACCTCTCCAGAAGCTAACAAAAACTCATACCTGACAGGCTTGATTCGAGATCTGTGGTGGTTGCAGCGGCTATTCCGCTTCCTACGGTCCTACACAATTTTTGCTGTGCTAAGTGACCACAGCAACCGATGGATGTGCGAGTATTCAGTGAACGGTTTCCTTTGTTCCGTTCTTCTGGCCGTTCTGATATGTTTCTGTCCCTCCCAGAAAGCATTCGGAAATTCTCAAGCCCACTATCTGAGGTATTGGTGTTTTCGAAAGCACCCGACCCGATCAAGACGGACATGACATGGGATCATTTGCATGCAACACTGACGAGCTTGCTGGAATTGGAGTTCTATGCCCTATATTTGTGCAGCTCGCCTCAGCGATCGGCCTGCCTCTTGGTGGAAACTGAGGCCGCAGAGATGCAACAGGTGCAGGCGACAGTCTTGAATGAAATGAAGGACGAATGGAACATGCTCCAAGAGATGGAGGGCAACAGAGAGATGCATGCATTGCTGCGAAAGGAATGTCCTTTCGTGTTCTTCCACCACTTCAGGGAGGTGCCCGTCTGTTTCGCACAACACGAATGGAAGATGTGCCCGGACACGTTTTCCTGTGTGCAAGCCTGGTTCCCACGGTTCAGCTTTTCCTCGAATATCGAAGATGTTTTCTCTTCTCTTCAAGATGCATGTCGCCGTGGTGTGAAGAACGGCGACGCAGGATTGAGCAACTTGCAGTGTGTGTCGGTGCGAGCCATTCAACAGAAGATGGATGTGGAGGGTGGCCCGAAGCTTGTGCAGCTCGAAAGCGAGGACTACGAAGGCAATGCCGTTCGCAGTCTGAAGCCCCGCATCTGGGAGTCAGACTCCGCATCCCCGGGTTTCCAGACTACAAATAAAGGGATTCGGGATTCGAATGTGTTCGCACGACGGAGCATTAGGGGTCTGCGAAAGCTTCCTGTGCTTGGATGCAATGAATCCAAGGTGCTGAGATCCGAATAGACGATGTCTTGAAGCCGTACGAGACCACAAGTGCTTACAATCACTGCAAATCCCAGCTCAATTTCCTCAAGGGCTTGAGGCTTGCAAAGAAGTGGCTACAGCGGCAGTAATGACATGTTCGATTGCTCCGGTTTGGATATTCGAGTGCAGTGTGTTCCACTTAGGAGTGGCCGGGATCTGCTCGAAGCTTCGGAGAGCTTTTGGATTTCGGCAATTATGCAAAGGGGCCAGCTGCTTCAAATCGGTGAATCCTTCTACCTCTGTGTGGGCGGGGCCCCCGCAGTGCTCTATGTGCCGGCCTCAACTCAGAGAGTCGGTTGCTCAAGTCACAGAAGCCGACGGACTGTGACAGTATATTGGCAGTGCTGTTCTGTTTAGTTCTTGCCGATGTAAGGCATTGCCGCTGGAGGAACTGAGACTGCTGTTCGATGGACCTGTGCCCCAGGGCACACAGGACGAGTCGCAGATGCTGGCTCAGGCGACCAGGTATGCAGTGAAGGACCCGCTGTTGGAGCATGAGAGGGTGAAGGCCCTGGTGATCAAGATTAGAAATGGGCAGTACCTCGCTTGAGATTTCAGTTTCATGTGCAACAAAAGATTACAAGTGTATACTCAACAGTGCAGTTGTTCAAGGCATCCTCTGCAAGCAATGCTGCTGGATGATATCGCCAATGCTCCGCTGCTGCATAGTCTAGGTCATGTGGCAATGAGTGGGTGTGGCAGGTAATCTTCCCGAGTGAGAACGAAAGCACCTGTTGAGGTCCGAGTTTTCTCCTACACTGTCCACTGGCTCCCTGCAAGCTATTCTGCCAAACTTGGAGTTTCGCTCTGCCTACGAAGGGCAGCAAGTGGACTGCCCCCTGTGGTGGACATGGTGAAAAGCAAAGCCATTGTACGCCTGACATCAGAGCAGCTCTCGAAGCTTTTGGGGGCCCACGGAGTTACAGCAAGAAAAAGCAGCACCAAGACGTTCAAGACGAGACAGCTCATGCAATTGCCCCTTGTCACCCAGCACTGCTCCCAAGAGGAGCTGACAGCTTTGGATGACCTGCTGAAACAGATTGATGCAAAGAGACGAAAGCAGCCAAAGGAAGAGCAGCAAGGGGATGAAGATGAAGAGGAGGCACCGATTGGTGAGATTGTTAGGTTTTCTGAGAAACAAGCAATGTTGGTTCTCAGACTCATTCAAGCAATGGCTCAGGCCTTGGATGAGGCAGGGGACCAGGCTCACGATCCTGCTGTGGAGTTTGCAGAGCAGATGCTTGGACAGATGCCGGACACCGAGGCAGGAATCAAAATCCCTACCCACCCAGTATAAAAAGAGCTAGGATCCCTAGGAACATCAAAGTAGAAAGTTCGTTCCCTATCTATACGAGATTTTTCGCAAAGACAGGACGAGGACGAAGGACAGGGCCCGAATGCTGCTGATCCGGCTGCCGCAGCCGAGGGGGCAGATGGCGAGCCAGGGGATGGCGATCAGCAGGGTGAGCAGAGGATCAGGGCAAGTCGCAAAGCGATGTCGAGCTGCAACTCTGTGCCAGATTGGCTGCAAAGCCGCTATGCCATGCCCGATGACTGCATCGTCACACATTTGGTTCACTCCACGAAGTTGCTGCCACATTTCCAGGTGCGACTGGGATCCGGGAGAACATACGAGGGAAAGATTCTCGGAAGCATCGCATTTTGCAGTCCTGTTTTGTGTTTCGTTCGCCAAGAGTATAATAACCCGACCGGTGATTTCGGTTTCGATCTCTCAGTTCGCAACCGTTTCAAAATCTCAGGGCATCGACTTCGGCTTCTTACAATGCAGAGCTGACGGCGGACACAGTGGACGAATCGAAGAAAACCATTCATGATATCACGGCGAGGCAAAGATCACAGCTACAAGCATGGTACATTTGTGTCACCTGGGCAAAAAATGCTCAACAGCAGTCGTCGAAGAAGCGAAAGCGCTGACGGGCCAAAGTATTCGATTCTCGCAATTCACAGAGATGGTAATTCCTGTCAGTAAGTAGCAGGCAAAGAAATCCTTGCATTCGTTCGGGGGCTCCTCATATCGAGCATTTCATCAAGGACGACTATATCTAATTTTCGTTATCTTGCAATCGCTTAATGGTCATCAATAGAAGCAGACCCGAGAGCTGAAGCAGAACGATGATTTGATCTACCATGCACCCTCAAGCAGAATGACAATGGGAAGCCATGACTATTTTCGGAAACTCCCATATCCCTCTACTAGATCCCTGGGTCGTTTACGCAAAGCCCACACTTACACCCGAGGTTCCAATTCCTGAGCACTCGGCTTCCATGTTACTACATACCTCAGCCTACCAAACCCTACTTTTTTGTAGGTTCTTATTATGAACCCTAATACGGAGGTTATAGGGGGCCCTACAAAACGGTAGGGTTTGGTAGCTTAAGGTAGGTTCATAGTTGCATCAACAGGTTTTCGTTCTCCGCCCTAAACCCCTAAACTCCAACTTCGCCTGCAGAGTTCAACTCGCCTGCAGTGCAGTCCGAGTTTCCCGTGCCGAAACGCAAAACCTTAAACTCCTAAGCCCTTTAGGGTTTAGGGTTAACAAAAATAGGAGCCTAAATACTGACCAATACTATTTTGGGGTTCCTTACTATACTAGGACCTAGAGTAATTAGGCCCTTATTCCCTTTTTGGGGGTTCAGGTTCCCTTATAAAACCAAAAAGGGCACCCTTTTTATTCCTAGGCTACTCTTGGGTCTAGTATATGTATAAACCTGCAGGCTCCCATCCTACACCTTTTTTAGGGTATCTACTTTTCTCTACAGCAGATCCTAACCATCAAATCTAGGTATCCAAAGAGGGGGTATAGGGTACGAGCCTCTATAGGTAACCCATAGGCCCCCAAAGTAGCTCCTTTTGGGGATTACCTCATAGGATTCTAAACATTATAACCCCAAAAAGGAACTACTATGGGGCCTTAGGGTACCCTAAACCCTAGACCCTAAACCCTAAACCCCTAAACCCTAAACCCTAAACCCCTAAACCCCAAACCCTAAACCCTATACCCACTGCCTCCGAAGGAGGGACCACAAGCTTGCAACCTGCGGCGATCGCATCTTTGCTGCGGTGCGCAGAGCGGCTCCAGCTTCCCTTGGCCCCGGCACTTCTCGAGGCTTTCTTGAGCAGGGTTTGCAATATAGGGTTTAGGGTTTAAAGGCTCCATAGTAGCGCCTTTTGGGGATTACTTTTACAGGATTCTAAATAGGAACCCCCAAAAGGAGCTGCTATGGAGCCTTTAGGTACGGCATGAAGGGAACCGGCTTTCTTGAAGGGCACACCTTAAAATCCTAAAAGCTGTGCACCCCTACCTTGAGTTACGATGAGCTGCTAATCATGGGGTTCATATGCCACCGATTGGTGGGGTTTGAGGTTCCAGGGACCCTAAACCCTAAGCCCAAAAGAGCCTGCTCCAAAGCCTCAAGAGCCAGTGGCTCTTGCACCCCAAATCTCTAAACCGTACAACTTGTAGAAGCGTGAGAAGTTAGAAATAGTATTACGCCCCCCCTTCCGAAACAACAAATATATATATATATATGTATGTATGTATGTATGTATGTATGTATGTATGTATATATATAGAAAGTTCAGACCCAGATATCTCACCGAATCCCAGTCCCTGGGCCTGGACCGTGCTTCCTCAAGCAGAAGCAGAATCCCTCGATTTCGCCTGAAGACAATTCTGCACGGAAGTCCCATACGCTCCTTTAGCCCGTGATCTGATAATCGTGAGAATACAGCATCAAAAAGCTGCGGGGCTCTTGGTGTTTGTAAGGTTTAAGGTGTTCTGACGAAATCGCTGTGTTTTGCGTTGCGGCTGACAGGTGACTTGAGTCCGTCACAGAGAGAGAGAGAGAGAGAGAGAGCGCGGAGAGAGCGCGGAGAGAGCGAGAGAGAGAGCGAGAGAGAGAGAGAGAGAGAGAGAATAAAGTTTCTCACCGGTTAAGGGTTCCTTCAAGGGTTTCTCACTTAGGGGTTGCAATGAGAGTAGTTTTACACTTCTGCCAAGCCTTCAGCGTGTTGGCGTTGTGGGCTTCAGGTTATTCGGCTTAGGATACGGACAATTAAAGGGAGGAACCCACTTTTCAAGCACCTTGACCCCCTGAATCCTTGAAGCCCCGAAGCGCCCCGCCCCAAAAGCCTCTCCCTTTGGATCCTTCTCTGTCCTTACTAGACCCATGTCTGGCATCGAAATGCAGCGCCATGGCGCTTCCTGCCACCCGTCATGGCTGCAATTCTCCGAGCCGCGGCGGAGAATGAAGGGCTTAGCTAAACCCTAAACACTGTGGGATCCGAAAGGGCCCTTTCTAATATTAATAACACTAACAGCAATAATACTCACAATAGTAACACTTACAATGCTAATACTGATCATATTCGTAATATTCTTGATGCTGCCCTTTTTCATGATGATACTATCATTATGATCAAGATTAATCATAATTAAGAAGACCCCAAAGGGTCCAAAGTACCTTTATAGTAGAATGTAGGGTTTCCATATTAGGCGTTACACTTATGATTTAGGAGAGTATCCCCCCCATAACAGTACCTAGGACCCTTTGGAAACTCTAAACCCTAAGCCCTATAAACTCAAAACTCCTAAACTCCTAAACCCTAAACCTAAGCCCTAAGAAGAGGCCTAAACCCCAAAAGCCTTGGAGGTCTTGGGCTCCAGAGATTGGGCCTCGTAAGCTTACGTGGAGGGGCAGGGGATTTCGTAAGTCGTTTTTACCAGGACCCTCCTTGTACCCTCAAAAGGGGTATATGGTCCCAAATAGTGGGCATTCAGGGTCTAATAGAGGGTAGATGGAGGGTCTAGGTAAGTATATACAGTTATATTGGGGCAACTCGATTTAGGGTACTTAATAACTCTATATACTTATGACCTACTTACTAAGTCCCGGGCCCCTTCAAGTAGGGTTCAAGATTTCTTGCCGGCAAGCTCGTGCTTCAACAGCTGCGTACTGGAGAGGCCGGAAAATAACCGATGCTACTCCTAGGGTTCCTTATTAGGACTATCAGATAACATACCCCGCAAATCGGGTAGGTTTTCAAGTCCAGGTTCGTAGTTAAGATGCAGCACAAGCTTTGCTTGAAAGAAGCTTTGGATTCGGACTTGCTTGAGCGTCTGAGTCTTAGGAAGGTTTCGGATGAGGGTTGGCCCTCACGTGTCTCGGGCCCGGTCTCTCACGGAAGAGCCTCACCAGAGAGCTTAAACCTTGCACCCACACACTTCTAGTCATTCTCAACTGCACTTCTCCGGGTTCCTTTTGAATATTGCAGGCAAAATAATTAGGCCCCAAAACTCTAATCGAATGATTGTTACCCACTACAACCCTAAACCCTAAACCATGTCAAGGAGGAACATCGGCCCGGCCTGCAACAGCCCACGCGCGTCAAGCTTGCCCTGGGTATCTTTGCGGGCCTTGCGCTCTTTGGGTCCCTCTCTATCGCAACTCTGTTACTTCGATCCCGTTGAGAAGTTATCTTTTCGGGCCCAGCCTATGATTTCGTGGGTTTAGGATTTGGGATTTTTTGGGGCTTTCGCAGTAAGAAATGATCTATTTCTACCCATCGGCCCCAAAGTAGTTCTTTTTTGGCATTACCTCATAGGATTCTAAATATGAACCCCAAAAAGGAACTACTATGGGGCCTTAGGGTAGAGCCTCCAATATCCCTTAATTAAGGAACATACCGTAAATCATATAAGGGATCCCACCATAATCTAAGGAATAGTCCTTAATTTAGGGACATTGGAGTCTCTGGGTTCACGTTCAAGGCTGCCTGACGGGGTGACAAGGGTTAGGATAACCGAGGGTGTGGTACTTAAAGGATCATGGGACCTAGTAACTATAAGGTTATAAAGTTATAATTCGGGTAACTATACTTATAACCCCAATTAAGGTACTTATAACCTTACTTACTAAGTCCCATGATCCTACAAATACAGAGGCCTTTATAATTGGAACAGGGTCTTGGGTAAGGGGATAGTATCAGATAGGTCGTTTTCTGGGCGAGGAACATCATCGTCGCCATGGACAAGCGATTGTTGCAAGTCTTCGAGCCATCGTTTCCAATACTCAACCCGCTGCTGTTCCTCATGCTGTCAGGTGGCACAGGGCTTACGGGCCCTCTGCCCTAAACCCTTCGGTGGGTGAGCACCGAAACCCCTTGGTGGGCTTAACATTTTCCAGGAGCGTTCAAGACCTCAAGTTATCTTGAGTTCTGCAGAAAGTCAGGGTTCAGAGTCTACAGTTGACTACCAATCATGGGAGGTTCCGGCAAGGCAAGTCTGATTGATTGTCCTTGGAGAGGTTGTGTTGTGCAAAACCAAAGGTTGGCTTTAGGGTTTCGACCCTTCCCGCATGCGGTGCGTCTTAGTCTTCGGATAAACCCTAAACCCCAAGCCCGAATAGACCCTAAACCGTATGCAGGTTTCACGGCAAGGTCGCTTTGGACCACCATCTGCGCACCGGAGGGTGAACCTGGAACGGGTACCTTAAGGACGAAATGAACCTTAAAAGGGTTTAAGGTTCATATACCATATAGAGATTCATAGTATATGGGTATAGGGCCCCTACTTTATAAGGGTCATTTGGTCCCTGAGGTAGAAGAATATCCTGGATCGAGGCTTTCCGTGCCACTGGACACCTCTTCCATGTCAAGGTCGCTTTGTTTGAGCTTCTTCAGCTCCTTAACTGGCGAGGTACCCAGAGACTCCCATATTCCTTCTTTAGGGAATACACCATAAAAGTGTATTTAGGATCCTACTACAATTTAAGGTTTATTCCTTAATTAAGGGATATTGGAGTCCCCGGGTAGTGATTCTTAGCTTAGTAGCTGAGTAGGTAACCTTGAACCAATTGGGGTTTATAGACTGCTAGCATAAGTGAAAAGGTTATGCTTTGTTTGGGTCAGGGTACTCCGGCCCTAAGTCAATGAATCTTCAGAAACTTTAGAATGGTAGCATAAGTGACAAGGTTATCCTTTGTTTGGGTTAGGGTACTCAGGCCCTAAGTTAATGAATCTTTTCGGTTGTAGGTCTTACACCCCCTGGTAACCGGAATGTGTCGAGTTGCGTTTGCACAGCTCAGGCTCTTCAACCAGGCGAGGAACTTGGTCAGGCTTCTCTTCATTGGGCAGGCCGCTCCCTAAACCCTGAACCCTAAACCCTAAATCCTGAACCCTAAATCCTAACTCCTGAACCCTAAACCCAAAACCATGCACCCCGCCCCGAAGCCCTAATCCCTTGAAGCTTTGAACCTATGTGAAGCCTTGCCTGCCTTGTGCGAGCGTGAGCGTCGAAAACCTCTGAACCCTAAACCCCTACAAGCCATAAGCCCTAAACTTCCGAAACCCTAACGTAGGAACCTGATTCAGAAACCCTGGGCCTATAACCCCCCAAATAGTAGCATTCATATAAGGAACCCTAATCAAGTCCCAAGGTTTCTTCATCACGTTCCTACAGTAAACCCCACAAGCTGTAAGCCCTAAACCCTTAAACCCTTCAACCCTACAAAATGAAGGAACCCTCAAAGGAGCCCTCGAGATCCCCTTTCAAGGGGACCTGAATGAAGCCTCATTGCCCAGGCGGCTGTTTGGCTTTGTGCCTACTCCAGCCTCATCTGCCTCAATGCCGTGGTGACACCCATCCTGCACTTCTCTCCGAGAGCCATGGATTAGGGGTTTAGGGGTTCAGAAGTTTAGGGTTCAGGAGTTAGGGGTTTAGGGTTTAGGGCTTATAGGGGTTAAGGTTTTAGGGGGGTTTAGGGTTTAGCGGTTTAGGGGTATTATTAAAGTTCAGGATTTAGAGCTAGGGTTCAGAGTCTTCAGAGTTTAAGGTTTGGAGTTTCGCTTTGCCCGTTTTGTGTGTGTGGGGGGGGGGGGGGGGGCCTTCCTCTTGAAAGCAGAGTAGTATCGAAGAGGGTAGCCTCATTACTAAGGGGGACATTCGGGTGGGGACCCAGGAGTTCAAAACAACACCTTCTTCCTGATCCTCTTTGATGCACTGATTGACACCACTTTCGGTGCCATTCTGCCCGCTTGCATGGTGGTGGAGGTCACCCTTCAATGGATATCAGCGAATGCGCACGACAGCATCCCCATGGACCGGCGTAAAATCGTACCCGAGCCGCATATGCACACCAAACCAGGTCCCTCAGCCCCAAGCCCAAGCCCCGTAAATCTTAATCCCTAAGCAGCAGCCAGACTTACCCAAACTTTTAACTAAACCCTAATCCCAAGCCCCAAATGCTTGGCCTAAAAGGACTTAAAAGTTAAGTCTTTCAGACACACACGGTGCAGAGGCACAGGCATTCTTGGCCGGGAGAAGCATCGTGCCCACGAGCAGCACCCAACTGGCTTCGCTCGCTTGGCCCTATATCTCTCTGTGGGTGAAGTTCCTGGGCTCTCTGGGCCCTGAAGAGCCTGCCTTTTTCAGGACTTGTATAACGATATCATAGTAAGGAGCCCGAAAAAGGTAGGTTCTTTGGGGTCCAGGTATACCCTAAACCATCAGCATCCAGGGTTTTCTTCGACACTGGCGTTTAGGATTTCTACTTATAAGGTGTCAGGATGTTGCTTGCGACGCCGCGGGTTTGGTGTGCTCGGAGTTAATCTATGTGGTCCGTATAGGGTGCAGGATGCTTTGGCATCTGCCTTGCATGTCAGGGGTCAATACATACTAGCTACTCGCTCTTAGGGTTTGAAATAGAGGTAGCTGTGGACTAACCCTAGGGCTCCAGTTACCTAAATAGTAGGTTACTAACCATATACTATGTACCCCAGTAACCTGCTATTTAGGTCACTGGAGCCCTAGGGTAGACTACCCAGAGACTCCAATATCCCTTAATTAAGGAATATTCCTTAAATTATGGTAGGATCTCTTATATGATTTAAGGTATATTCCCTAATGAAGGAATATTGGAGTCTCTGGGGATAGTAGGCTCTGGACTAGGCCATCACGCCGTTTCGGATCTTGAGGGTTGGCGTTTCGAGGCTTCGGGTCCTACCGAGTTCAGGGTCACAGCGCCTGTCTCCTACGGTTGATGATATAAATCCTGCATTACCCATAATAGGGAATATATGGGAATTATGGTATATTCCTTATTATGGGTAATGCAGGATTTATATCATCGACCGTAGTAGTAGAGTGGGGAATCTTTAACCTTTTCTGGGTAGTGTAGTCCCTATATAATAATCACAATAGAATCCCTATATAACCAAAAAGGTGAAGCTCTAGTTGCCCATGATACCCGACAAGTAGGCTAAACCCTAATCCCTAAACCCCTAAACCCTAAACCCCTACACCCGTAAACCCCTAAACCCCTATAGGGAACTCCAGAAAGTTGGAATATGGTTTCATGGTAGGATACCCTATAATTTACCATAGAAGGGTTAGGATAATCATATTCCAACTTTCTGGCTTTTACCTTAAACCCTCAACCCCTGTTGTGTTGTCCAGATTCCAGGTTCGTCGACCTCCACCATGCGCGCGAGTTTTGGAGAAACAAAGGACTCTCGACTCCAAAGCACTTTGAAAGATACCTGGACCCCAAAAAGTATGTAGAATAATGGCCTTTTATAGGGTTTGGGCCATTATTCTACCTACTTTTGGGGGTCCAGGTAGAAGCCCAGTTGACAGCAAGATGAGTAAATCTACTCTCCTTATCAACCCTTGCAGGACCTCAAACCTGCAATGCCAAAGCCCTTGACAACCCCTCGGCCGCAGATCTCAAGCCACGGACCTGTACAGTCCCAAAAGCAGGAGTCATAGACCAAAGGCGACGGGTTTGTGGTCCTTGGATCTTTGGGCTGGCCTACCTGCTCACTGGACTTGCCGTGGGCCTGCTCGGACTCACTGCCAGGCCAGGGCGCTCGACATAGAACAGGGTTTAGATAGGCTTTCCCCTGAGCTGCAACGGCAACGGTAGCAGCGGCAGCGACAGCAGCAGGAGCAGGAACTGCACGCAGCCGCGGCAGCAGCCGCAGCGGCAGCAGCAGCAGCAGCAGAGCAGCAGCAGCAGCAAGAGCAGCAGCAACGGCAGCAGCAGCACCAGCCCCAGCGACAGCGACAGCAACAGCAACAACAACAACAACAACAACAGCAGCAACAACAACAACAGTAACAACAGAAACAACAACGTCTTAACCAAGAAGGTGACAAGAACAGGAGCTGAAGCAACACCAGCAGCAGCAACAATGCAAGCAACTGCAACAGTTCCAGCGTCGACGAAACCACCAACAACACCAGCACTATCAACACCAGCACCCACGGCAGCGAGAAAAGGAATGCCAGCCACATGAACAGCAACGATGGCCATGTGAAGCTTATTGGTGCCAGGTTGCGATCCTCATGTTGGAGCAAGAGCTGGGCGGATGACTGCAGTGTCTTCCGCTTCGATCTTTCTGGGAGCTCCTGCGAATGTGCTTACTTTGAGAGTCTTGCCTTTGACCTAATAGTAGATAGGTAACCTTCAACCCCTTTGGGCGGGTACCATTATCCCTTTACAACCCCAAATGTACTCCCATAGATGGCGGCTACACTTTTTCTGTTCGTAGCGTGGTACTTCCGATCTCTGACCCTGGCCGACTTGCCCTATGCTAAGCCCTGGCAGTAACCTTGACCAAGGCCTCTGTAGAAGCCAAGGAACGTCATGAAGGCCCCTGCGGCATGCCGCTGCACACCTATTAGGCCCTTACAGTATGCTGCTTACTACTATAGGGGCCTAAGTAATTTCCTATACTATTTTGGGGTTCCTCATTATATCTATAGTATAATGGGCCCTAAAACCCTATGCTAATTATTAAAAGGCGCCTACATGAAGCGATCTGAGGAAGCACTTCAAATGTGTGGACGAGGCGGTGCTTGTGGAGATGCTTGGGGAGTCGCGATTGCTAGGGGTGCTTTCGCTGAAAGGTTGCCCAGAGCGCCGGAAGCTTCTAGGAACCCAGAAGTATCCTGTTACCTTTTTTGTGATGGGGTCTCGTTGTGATTAAAACTGAAGAACGAGATAAGGGTACCCTCTGAACTCTAATCCCAAACCCTATACACACTAAACCCTCAACCCTTTTTTTGGTTCCAGGCTTCCATCCCTTTCTCACAATGTCGCGCTCCAGTATTTGATCCTTGACACCAACTCCCTTGAGGAGTCCGGTTGCCTCTGTTTGTATTGGTACATGTACGTAGTTGCTGGGGTGCTTTCTTTAAGTTTTCATTTCTTGTAACCAAGAATAATCATAACGTTCGGATAGTGTGCTGTACTGTTGCTGAAACTTACATGCATGAGTATGTGTTGAGCCCAGTCTCTCGCAAATGTGAGTTCAGGAGTGCTTCAAGAGTTGAGTTGCGCGAGATATCTCTGGAGTGAGACGTACTACCCTGCCTAAGTGCCGAGGCAAAAACTCCTAGGCGCTGTAATTGCATCGGAAAAAATCCTGAACCCTAAACCGTAAAGCCCTAAATTGTAAACCTGAAGGAGCTCCCTGTGCTGAGCCGATTGGTGGATCTGAGGGAGCTCCACGTGCGAGAGAATCGAGTCTGGGTTCTTGTTAAATGGGAGTTTCCGAAAATGAGGGGTACCTTATTTTGGGGTCCTGATAACAAGAATCCTACTATTTAGGGTGCTATATTAGGAACCCCTATTTTCAGAAACTCCCAAATAAGGAATGTACCCATAGGCTCCATACCTTACAGGATCCTAAGTATAAGCACCAAAAAAGAACTACTATGGATCCACAAGGTAAGGAAAGTAATCTGAGTCACCATTACAAGGAAACCACATTATTCACTGGAGATCCCGACTAGGGGTAACTTACGTTAAGTTCCGTAGCCAGAGCCCAGGACTGCGCGAGTTGCCGGACCTGTCATCCAACGTGAAGCTCACAATCTTGGACGTGGAGCACTTTGCAAACATTGGGTCGGGGTAAATAACTAACTGACCTGAAGCTTTTCAAGGGCTTATACAAAGAACTCATAACTTAATAGCTGGGTGGATACACTTTACACTTTTTGAGGAACCATATGACCCACTATAAAACTAAAGGTGTACACTTTTTGAGGCTCACGAACTCAGCAGCTAAGATAACAAGGAGTCTCCAGACAGGGGGTCCGATGGCATGGTTTTCAGGTAGGGTTTCGCGATCCTAGGATCAAGCCCTCGCGAGAGGAAAAGTGCACAGAATTGGGAGGGTAGGACATGCTACTTTGGCGTATCCATCCAGAGACTCCAATATTCCTTCATTAGGGAATACACCTTAAATCCAGATTAAGGATCCTACTATAATTTAAGGTATATTCCTTAATTATGGGATATTGGAGTCTCTCGTTGTCGGAAGTCTCGCTCGTTTTTCAAGCCATGATCTCCCCCGGAACAAGGAAAAACCATCTCTCGCAACTGCCGTCGTCACTCGGCATTTCGCGGCAAGTAAGTTGTTGCTGGGTTTGGAGTGTAGGGTTTTGGGTTCATGGCTTCGTATCGGGATCGGTTTTCTGCTTCGATTGTCTGAGAGTACTATAGGGGCCTTAATATAAATACCAATACTATTGCGGGGGTTCCTTTTTGCACAATCATATTTTTTAAATTATAGTATAATGGGCACCAAAACCCTATTCTAATAATCAAGGCCCCTTACTAAGGTTACTAAGGCCCGTACAGTAATCCCTGAAACCCTAAACCCTACCTCAACCCTGAAGAACCTACCTTTTTAGGGTTCCCTATATTGATTTCCTTATATAAGTCCTTAAAAAGGTAGGTTCTTCAGGGTTAAGGTAAACCGTACTAAGGCCCATACAGTAATCCGTGAGCCCAGGTTTGAAGGGAATCCGCAGCTCACAGACATCCTGGCAGCTGAAAACAACATCTCCGTGGCTCCGGACCTTCGTCTCTTTCTCAGCCTTGCGGGTTTACAGTTTAGGATTTCGGATAAAGGGTTTGGGATTAGGATTTCGGGTAAGTGTTTGGGATTTTGTAATTATTTCCAAATGAGGGTTTTGGATGCCCTTTGTGCTTGGGGGTGCTTCTCTGCATGACTCTTACAGGCATCATGAGGATTGCCGTTTTCGGAGGGCTTGTCCGTCCATATCATGAAGTGCAGTTATACGGATTGTGGATTCTCGTGCTGAGCTAAACGAAATGTATGATGTAATGGCTCTTTGGCCACAAGAGCAAACTGTCTTATGCTTGGGGCAGGGCTGTCAGAGCTCAAGAGTGTCAGTGGTCTAGGGTTCAGGGGTAAAGTGTAAACAACTTCTTCAAAAGCAACAAACACAACAACGACTCTACCCTGAACTAAGCCGCCAAGCCTTACAATCCTAGACCCAAACTCCTACGTTGCAATTCGCATTCTTCCGGGTACGAGCGAAGATTATCTGGTCTGGCTCCATAAACCCAGAGACTCCAATATCCCTTAATTAAGGAATATACCTCACACTATATTAGGGATCCTACTATAATTTCAGGTATGTTCCTTAATTAAGGGATAGTGCAGTCCCCTAAACCCTAAACCCTATAGATCCTGTATAAGATCCCTTCAAGGAACCCCCGCTAGGTCTTCCTTAATAAGGGATCCTGGCGTCTCTGGGAAGAGAAACCCCTCCTTGGGCATCCCAGGGCTTTTGGGCTCATGTCTTAGGGGTCTTAGGGCTGTTTGATCGGCAGAGTCTCGGTTCAAAAACGGGTGGGGATGAGGGTTCCTTTAACGGTAATCTAGGAGGGTTTAGGGGTTCATAGTGTTTCCTTTAAAGGGTTCTATGAAGGGTTCTATGAAAGGGGTCTATGATATAGGGGCCTTAGTGTAGGAACCTGATCAAGAAACCTTGGGCATTTGTTAGGGTTCCTTAAATGAACCCGACGATTTTGGGGTTATAGGCCCAGGGTTTCTTAATCAGGTTCCTACATTACCCATTTGCTCCACAGTAGTTCCGTTATGGGATTACCTTATAGGGTTCTAAGTATGAACCCCAAACGAGAACTACTGTGGAGCCTCTAGGTCCTAGGTAATGGTCATCATAAGGTGTATATACGCGTGTTTTTGGCTGACTTCAAAAAAAGGGTTCGCAGATCCCTGTCGGCTCGGGGAACCTTACGACGCGGAACACCCCTAGAGCCGAAGCTACAAGAGAGCGAGGCAAGAATCCGGTGCTTCAGATCCTCAATCTCGAGAAAAACGAGTTGCATGAGGCGGAAACTAGACCCAGAGTTGCTACTGTAGGGGCCCAAATAATTACCAACACTATTTTGCGGAAGCCTTATTGTAATTATAGCATAATATGCGCCAAAACCCTATTCTAATTATTAAGGCCCCTATAGTAGGATGTTGGGCTGATGTTTTTAGGGTTTGGGGCTGGGGAAGCCTAACTTACTCGGGCAAGAGCGGGCTTAGGTGCCGCGGTTGAAGCAGGAATTGAATGAAGCACCAGCGCTACGGGGGCAGCAAGTCGTTGGAGCTGTTTTACTTAGCCTCGAACTAGGCTGCTCTTGCAAGTGCTCGCCTATTGCTATTGTAGTACACTCGGTGGACTATGTAACAACAGCACGCAAGCCCTGAGCCCGAATCCCGGAGAACAGCGCGACATTCTAAAATGGGAGTTTCCGAAACCAGGGAACCCGAATCTGGCACCCCAAATAGTAGGACCCTGATTCTAAGAACCGCAAAATAAGGTACCCTTAATTTTCGGAGACTCTAAACCCTAAAACCCTTTATAGAACCCTTATAGATCACTTTAAAGAAGCCTTTAAGGATCCCGTTTAAAAAGGAGCCCCTCATTTTCGGAACGTCCCAAACGGACTCCAAAAGTCATCAGTCCCGGGAGCTAAATCCCCAAAAGTAGTTTAGGGTCTAGGGTTTGGGGTTTAGGATTTAGGGTTTAGGATTTAGGGTCTAGGGTTTGGGGTTTAGGGTTTAGGTATGCAGAATAGTTGCAAAGTTTGTGGGTGTTGGGCCATGGTTTTACCCACTACTGGGGGGTTTAGGCAGGGCTTTACCCAGAGGCCCCATAGTAGTTCCTTTTTGGGGTTCATATATAGAATTCTATCAGGTAATCCCAAGAAGGAACTACTATGGGGCCTCTGGGTACCGGTTCAGGGTCACGGGTTCAGATGAATGAGGCTCAACTTCGAGTGCGAATCATTACGGCCTCTCCTTAGATAGTAGGGATTATGGGGTGTGTTTAGGGTTTAGAGGGTTTAGGGTAGGAACCTGGGCCCCCAAAGTATGTAGAATAATAGCCTTTTTTATGTTTTTTGGGCCATTATTAGCTGGACCACGCCCTTCACCCATGCCCTACCCTCACTCCAGTAAGTCTGGTGCAACTGCCTGGTTTAGTGCACCGTGCCGGCAGCTATACCCCTAAACCCTAAAACCCTAAACTCTCTCTTTCTCTCTCTCTCTCTCTCTCTCTCGCATGCGGACGATCCGGGGCGAAGTCATAAGAGGAACCTGTACAGAACGCAGAGAGAGGGTGCACCACCAAGGCGTGCACAGCAACTCTACAAAGCGAAAATCAAGCTGCAGGCAGGGACAGCTGGTGGGGTGCCGCCAGGGCAACCGAAAGAAGAGGGAGACAAACACTCTCTCTCGCATTCGGATGTCCGGTGCGAAGTCATGCTTGCCAAAACCAGGAAAAACCTGCAGCCAATTCAGGAAAAACGTGAACAACACAGAAACAGCGGGCACCCGGGGGGAGCACATCCAAGCAGCCGGAGCGCGAGGAGTGCAAACAGCCCCCAAAAAGGCGCCGCAGAGCCAAGGCAGGCAGGAGCACATCAGAAGCGCTGCATGCCTCAGGCGAGAGCAAGAGCGGGGTAGCGAGTGCTACACAAGCCGGCCCAAGCCGGGGCGAGGCCCAAAGACACAACATTAAAGTAGACAAAAGAGACCACGCTCGCAGAGATGGGCCCGTCGCGGCAAGCGTCCTGTACACCAACATTTCACCGGTGCCAGACGGATGGCGAGCCGAAACACCCGGCTTGTAGCGTGATAATCACGCAGCAGCCGGATGGCCAGTTCGAGACGAAAGGCCGGTAGAGGGTTGACCAGCACCACGTACTGTAGCAGCCGGATGGCGCCAGTCCGAGACAAAAGGCCGGTAGAAGGTTGACCCGCACCACGTAGAAGACGGATGGCCAGTCCGAGACAAAAGGCCGGTAGAAGGTTGACCAGCCCCACGCAGCAGACGGATGAAGGGGAAGCAGTCGGCCTATAGCGAAAGACAGCGACTGAGAGCGGTAGAACCATTGAGAGCGTCTGCGCAAGCAAACACCCCGAGACCCAGGCGTCGAAGCCATGGGTTGGTGCGTGAGACCACCTGGATCGCATGCGGCGTGAAATTCGAGGAATGTCGCTATAGGGTCTGGTACCTAGCAGTCAGCCGGTGGAACACAATAGGACCACGAGCTGAAGCTGCCTGAACCGAGACGCCTAAAAAAACCCTAAACCCTAAATCCCGAAACCCTAAAGCTACAACCTTGAACTGTGCGCCCGGGGGGAACCTACGAAGCACAGAAGGTGCAAAGTCGGAGCCTCCATCTAACCTTGGCATTCTTCTGGTTGGCTCTTAGGACTTTAACTTTATGGGGGTTTCTTTATGAACCATAGTAAGGAGGCATAGAAGTTTAAACTTTTCGGAGGGGTTCAGAAGTCAGCCAAGTAATCTGAGCCCAAACCTTGAACCCCAAATTGTGGAATGCCGTACTGAAACTTTGACCCTAAATCCCTGTCTTCAAACCTCAAAGCTTGAATCAAAAGGCGCCTTCCCTTGACGGCAACCCGGAGCTGGTGTACCTCTTCGTGGAAATGAACCACCTCACCGCCCTTCCAAGCTTGTTTCCTGGCGGCTGCAGGGTTACCTTAGCCCTGAAGAACCTAACTTTTTAGGCTTCCCCATTATTATGATTTCCTTATATAAGTCCTTAAGAAGGTAGGTTCTTCAGGGTTAAGGTAGGGTTTAGCGGCAAAAAGGGTTTTGGAGGCACTTCAGAGAGACCTCGTTCAAAAGGGTTTAGGGTTTCGAGAGTTGTGGGAATTCAAAGGTTCAAGTTTCAGTGGCTCCTTGGGATTGGGGGGTTTGGGGAATTCGATTGTGTAGGGTTTAGTGGTTCCATGGGGGTCCTCATTTTGGGGTTGAGGGTTATGGGAATTGGAAGGTTTAGGGTTTAGCGATTCCTGGTTTTGGGGATGCGGGTTTGGGGAATTCGGCGGTTTAGGCTTTCGTGGTTCCTCATTTTGGTGTTGAAGGCTTTGGGATTCAGGGTTCAGGCTTCGGGGATGACGTCGGGATGCAAGGTTTAGGGTGTGGCTTGGGGCAAACCAGAATTCTTCACTATAGCTTGTATGTTTTAAGGCTTATTTACTTACTTCGGTAGGCATCAATGTTACAGTATAGGAACCCCAAAAAGTCTATTCTCACGAATAAGGCCCCTACTTAAAGGATCATGGGACTTAATAACTATGGTTATAATTGAGGTAATTGTACTTATGACTAATTAAGGTACTTATAACCTCACTTACTAAGTCCCATGATCCTCCAAGTAGATTGGATCCCGAGTTCCACGGCTTTCTGGTTTGGGGGGCGTGCGTCTCGGTCGGGTCTGGTGTTTCCTGAATCCATGGACCATGGACCTTACCCAGAGGCCCCCATAGTATTTCCTTTTTGGGATTACCTTGTATGATTCTATATATGAACCCCAAAAAGGAACTACTATGGGGCCTCTGGTAAACCCGATTAAACCCTAAAAGCCCCAAGCCGTTAGCTCAGGCTGACCCCCGAATGTTTGACCCCAAAGGGTCCTAGGTACTGTTATGGGAGATACCTCCCCAAATCAGAATAGTAATTCCTAATCTTGAAACCCTACATTCTATTGTACATTCTATTGTATTAAACTAAGCCCAAAACCCTAAACCCCTAAACCCTAAATAGGTACTTTGGGCCCTTTGGGACTGAATTCAAAACCTGAGGCTAGACAGGCTGGTGGCTCATATTTCGACTCTCTTAGCCCCGAGACCATGCTGAATACAACGATTGTCCATGTGGGGGGTTGTCAAAATTATGGTCCCTTTTTGGGTACCCTAAATATCAGGTGCCGTACTCTATTAGGGACCCAAAAAGGGATCATAATTTTGACAACCACCCATGTTGTCTTGAGCTTTTTAAGGTAAACTGACACTTTCAATGCCCTTCTTAAGTACGGGACGCACCCACGATACCAACAAGCCCTGCGCATCTGAGGGACGAGAAGCTTCCCTCAGGATTCCAAGACATACTCGGAAGGCCCTATAGTGGGGACGCAGGGCGTCCAATCCCCAATCCCCTACGAACCGGGGAACTGATTTCCCGCCAGTTCCACATTAAGAAAGTCTTAGCTAGCTGAGGCGCAACAATCGCAAGCTCCAGGTGATCAATGCCGCTTTGATGCGGTTGACATGTGTTCCCACGTGCAAACCTTGGGTTTACGGGTTGAAGCTGGATTCAGTAGTACAGTAGGGTATGGTTGCATGAAATGTTTGGCCAGGCTTGAAGGGCAAGAAGCTAAGGGTCCAAATGCCTGCCTGCGCCAGTACTTGTACCTACTTAAGTTCTCCGAGTAGCCACCTTTGCTTTTGGGCATTATCTACCAAGAAGCGACTGGCTTCGCAAAATCCCGGTAGATCATAAAAACGAAAGGTTCGGGTCAACCCGGTTGAAGCCTTTATTGAGGACCGATACAATAGCTCGAGCCCTTTCGCCATAAGGAAGGGTTTAGGGGTTTCAGTATGGCGTTTCGGGCTAAAGGTTTTTATGTTAGCGGGCCCAAACCCACTCTGCGTGGAAGGCGTGGCAATGACGATGTAGGCAAGCCGTAGATGTAAAACCTCCCAGTCATAGCCTACTCGAAACCGTGTGCCGGATCGTGTACTTTTGTATCTTCTCCGGCCATGTTGCCTTTGAAGCTGCATCTTTTCGAACCCGTAGCGGCTGTAGCGCACAGGAGCTTCAAATTGTCAATCTTAAAGCCCAGTCTTCCAGACACATGCATCCACCTCCTTGGCCCTCACGGAGGCAACCCCAGAGGCAACCCCGTGTCCCATCCAGGGTCTCTGTTAGAGTGTTGTGGGGTTTACAGGGGTCCCTACCAGCGCCTGAACCGGTTTCAATTGGAATATGGTTTTGGATTACTTTATACCGTCTGTAGGGACTATGAGGGGGTAGGGCTGCCACCTCCTCGAGCCGCTGTATGAAGCAAGTATATAAGCATCGGCGGTCTCAGGATTTGAGGCTCATTTTAGGGTGTTGAAGCTTTGGCGCCTGGGGTTTAGTTTAGTCGTTCTTTGTCAAGCTCCCAACTCGACCTAAACCCTAAACCCTAAACCCGAGGCAGAGAAAAATCAGCTGAAGTTCTTGCCATCCCTTGAAGCAGCATCGCAGCTTGAGCAGCTGTGGCTCGTGGGCAACCAGCCCCCTGGCTGTGTCTCGGGGAACTGGGCATTCAAGGCTTTGGGCTTTGGGTTTGGAGGTGATGTTTCTTAGGGGTACTTAGAAATATTTCTTGATTTTTGGTTGTTATATTCCCTAAGAAACAGCTAAAATTAGCTAGGGTTCTAAGTTCAGTATAGGTTTCACAGATCTCATCGCACAGTTGTTGAGGATGGTGTCGGGATTCAGTTTATAGCTTGGCGTTCTTCTGGTTGGCTCGTAGGACTTTCAACTTTTTGGGGAGTTTCTATATGAACCATAATAAGGATGCTAAATGTTTAACTTTTTTGGAGGGGTTCAGAAGTCAGCCAAGAAAATGTGTATGTGCCAAATGACAATACTGCGCGAACTGCTACTTCATGGCGTACGGGTGGTAAGGACAACCTAGGGTTTAGGGTTTAGGGTACGGTTTCGATATCAGCTTTCAAGCCCTACGGCTTGATACAACCTGTTACACCGTTAAACAAAACTCTTCCGACAACATGTCAAACAACTCAACAGAGCTCAAACCCCCCAAACTCTGAACCCCATAAGTACCACAAGCCTTTAAAGCCTTTAGACCCTACTGCTGACGCGAAGGGTTAGCAGCTTCACTCCCGCCCACTGCAGATTCTGCCATCAACACAGCAAGCGCTCGAATTGGCGTACAAATCTTTTTACGGAAAGCGAATGATCCGACGTGTTATGTCTTATGCACTGCAACTTGTCATGCTCTGCAAGACACTGTACTGCTGCAGCCTAAAACTGACGTCTCATGGCCCACTGGCCTTTGATCGCTTGGGCCTCGAAGGCCGACTTCATGCACACAAACGTGCCTTGGCCACATGTCCTGAGCGCACGCCTGGCTGGGGAGCTTTCAGCACTCCTCCTTGGGCATCCACTTGTAGGATGACCACGCTTTTCAGGGTTCAAGCCAGGCTAATACATCGATTGGCCACTGTGGTTCTGGCACAAATTACAGAACGTTAGCTTTCGGGGCTTGTGTACATTACGTAGTCCCCAACAATTGCACAGCGTATGGAAATGGTCTCCGTTTGAAGACACATACACTGGTCCCGGGTGCCACTGCGGCACCATCACTTCGCGAACTTCAACCTGACCTCTCGGGGCAGGGATTGGGTCCGTCTGGACGCCGACTTCAGTACGCATTCGATGGCCCATGAGGCTCCTGCCGCGTCTAGCAGCCGTAGAAGATGACGAAGTCGATGTAGGAGTCATCCTCGTAGTAGACACCGTAGGCGATCCCATAGGTGCAGCAGGTCCTTGAGCGTCCATTTCGGCCATCCGAACAGCCAGTTCACGCTGAACTGCTTCCTGTAGTCTTCGATGACGCCTCGAAGATCGACCCTCAAGATGATCTCCGCAACATCGATCCCACATGTACCAAAATGCCTCCCACAAACCAACCAGTGCCATGCCAGCAACTGCCAGGGAAGCGTAGAGTTCGAAGGACCCATCCAAGGCGAGAGGCTCAATAGATGCTGCTCGGGTTGTCTGAATCATCATGCACAACACCATCATGCGAACCATAGCCAGCTTAGAAACCTCGGTCACCAAGTCAACGAATCCCCAAAGTCCAACCAACTCTTCAAGCCGCTGGCGTGGGAATGATTTGGTCAACAGATCCGCCCATTGAGTGGCTCCCGGAACATAGGAAACAGTGACTTGATTGGTCTCCACCTGCTCGTGGATGTAGGCTGCTCGAACCCTCAAGTGCCTCGTTCGCCATGAACAAGACGAAGAAGGCTTGGCCAGTGAGATGGCCGCTTGATTATCAACCTTCAGCGAGATACACCGAACCTCACCCTGGAGCTGCTCAATGACCGCTGCAATGCTCTTGCCCATCACAAGGCCCTCCGTTGCCGCCAGCAACTCGCATTCAGCGGTGCTTAAGCACACGAAAGGTTGGCGAGCCGATCGCCAACAGACCGGCGCTCCCAGCCACACCGCCACCAGTCCTGAGTGGCTCTTCGAACCCTCAGGAGCAAAGGAGCTATCGGTGTACACCTCAAGGTCCTCGGACGTAGGCTTCAAACACAGAGCAAGCCGCTTTGTCCTTTGTAAATACGACCGCAAGCGGGCCGCTATCTTCAAGCATCTTGGCGCAGCTCGCGTCAACAGCGAACCCATTGCACAGACCACAAAGCTGATGTCTGGCCTGCTCCGTTGAGCTATCCACAGCAGCTCTCCGCAGGCCTTCTGGGCCTGCTTGACATCATCATCACATCCACTGTCCTCGCCCTCAAACGCATCAAACGTAACCCACTCTTTTGGAGCCTGAATGGGCGACTGCTCGGTATCTGCTGTGCCATGGTGACGCAGGATCTCCTCAATGTAGGGCCGCTGGTGCAGGTAGATCGCCGAGAACTCCTCGTTCGTGGATATCTCACAACCCAAGAATCTGATCTCATGATCAAACGACAACAGGTCCAACTCTGATGTCTTCCATTTCTTGGCAATCTTACCCGAGATAGCCATCACCAACCATAAGGGCCCTGCCAGGAGGATATCGTCCACATACAGCAAAAGGAGGCCGTCGGGACCCCGGCCTTCCGGGGCACCAACTTCGTAGACAATCCAAAGGTTTGGTTCAGCACGACCCTGTCTCACATCCCATTGCTTCCCGTCCTGCTCTATCTTGAGACCGGAGATATGTTCATCACGAAAAGAGGCCCAAAGTTTCGGGGATTGACGTAAGCCATACATTCCATGCGTCAGCATCCACCGTTCTGAAGGATGGGCCAACCCCAGCTGGACCAAGGCAGCTGGAGGTCTTATAATATATATGGTCTCTCCAGGTCCACGCGGAAGCGGAGTCAACATGAATGCACCAGTGACGTCGGTAATCCCGGAGCGCCACCGGCGCTTGGCCACATACGTGAGAGCACATCTCAGGCTCTCGGCGGCAGCGCCGCCCGCAAACAACTCGTTCTGGTCCTCGGCCGCATAATTGCCGCAACAAACTATGCGAGCCTTCCTTTTACAGAAGGCTGCCTCGCCTTCGCCCTCATTCTCCACTGCCGGGGGTTTCACGGTGTACACCAGCTTGGAGGGGAGCTCCTGAACGACGAACTTCTTTTTCATGTCGGTAACCTCCTCGGACGTCACCCGTTTGAAGCCACGCTCAACAACACCCAACTCCTTGGAGATCGCCCGGCTCCACTTAGAGATCACTGCCTTGGCTTCGGAGGGGCTGACATTGTAAGTATGCCTCAAAGGCACAGCTGACTCCACAGCATTTTGAATAATGCCTTCAATGCCCTCAACATACTCAGGCTCCACCTTCGCAACACGCGGGGCGTCATACAACCCAAGTGAGGCCCAGTACTCAACATTCTGCTCCATGTCCGATCTAAACTCAAAGTTCCCCTCGCCCTCGTTGAACACCTCTGGGACCCGGGTAAGCCATGGTAACTCATCACCTGGGTCATCAGAACTGCAGACCCTGCGCAAGCCCACCAAAGGACTGCTTGGCTCACCCTGCTCCTCCTCAGCCGACTCCTCAACGTACATGCCCCAATCCCACATGGTAGCTTCACAATCACCAACAGCAGCAACTTCCACATCATCACTTTCACTGCGAGATCCACTCAACAGGTCGAGTGGTGGCAAGGTCATAGCCTTAAGCTCCAGTCTGGTTTCCAGAGCTTCTTCTGCTGGTCCTTCATCATCATCACTAACTTGACTCAGAGGGAAGCCGAGGGAGGTTAGATAATCTTGGTCATTGGCGTTCAGCTTAGAGGCTCCCTGAGGGGTGAAGGCGGACAGGAACCATTTGGCATTCTCTTCGTTCACATAAGCATGCGGGACCAACGGATCAAACACCGCAGGCTTCTTGGCAACATCCACCAGGCACCCTTCATGAGAACGACCATTCATGTCCACATACTGATGATCACGGGCCTTGGTGCCTCCAACAACCCTGCGCTCATTGCCCTGGTTCTCGACCCACAAACCCTCCAAGGATTCGGTCTTCAGCTCCAGAACATAGTTGTAGGTGCCCCTTTCATTGTGGCTGTCCTTGTGCCTTGGAACTTGTTCTGCTGATTGAATGGCCAATGTAGTCCACGATACATTCATCTCGGGCCAATTCTTCTTGATCTTGTTCCCCAGATAGGCATTGAAGTAGCGTGCCACCCACGGAAGATCCCGGCCATACCGAGTGACTCCAAATGACCCTCCATGCACAAACGCACCCAAAACCATTCCTTGACCTTCTGGAGCCCTTGGAACCTTCAAGTTCCCACAAGTCCCGGCAAAGAGAGCAAGCAGTCGCGCACAATCACGTTCACCAAAACATCGGTCTTGATAAAGCTGTTCTGCAACACCCTCAACATACTGTATCTCCCCAACACGTAGATACTTCACAGACTCAGCCGATGCCTCATAGCCATTGTCTTGCTGGTTCACTTCTGGCATCGTTTCCCGCTCATGGTAGTAGGCATCGGCCTTGAAGACTCCCGGAACCTTTGACCTCAAACGCCTTGGTGGTGGTGGTACATCAGGTGGAGGGAGAGGAGGTTCTTCATCTGGCGAGTGCTCATGGGCTTCAGGTTCAACCAAAACAGTAGGCGTCACATCATCCAACGATGGTGGGTCTCTCGTGATCCTCACATGGGTGGTCTGAATGAAGGTGCCCGAGTCCTTGAGGATTACATGACCACCCCTGATGTCAGAAGAAGGTCCCACATAACGACCCCGCGTCCAATGAGGGCCAAAGTCCTCAACAGCTCCCGTTTTGTAACGCTTGGTTTTCACATACACTCGTGCACCGTAAGCCACTGGCATTGGTGAAAGAGCCCCAAGTCGTTCACAACGTTGCTGGGCCGCCGCATACTGCACAGCCGTAGGCCAGTTCTCCTTGGGCAGTCCAGCGCTGTCCAACAGCACTCTTGCCCTTCGCTTAAGATAGCGAACTCCCGCTTCCGCAACACCATTGGCAGCCGAATCTGAACCTGACGTGGTGGTAGGCCACATTCCTTGCGCCAGTGCCCACTTCCTCACCAGGTTCCCACGAAACTCTCCTCCTCGATCCGAGTGAAGACGAGTCACCGGATAGCCCAGGGCCTTAACTTCAGTGATGATGCGCTGGACCGCGGGGAGCATCGTGGCCGCCTTCTTGTTGTTCACCGGAGTCGCAAAGTACAACGTAGTCGTGGAGATTGGTTCCTTGAACGTAGCAAGCAGCTCCTTCCAATCCTTTTCTTCTTTGTCAATCTCCTCCAAGCCCACGCCAGCACCCTCAAAAGCTGCATCCTCGGCCGCAACCTCATCATCGGCAATAAGCTCGTCCTCCTCCTCAACGTCTGGTGGAGGTATGGGATGTCCATGCACTTCACCATGCCCTCCGCCTCCATCCACTTCAGGAATACGGAACGCCCCGATGACAAAGTACTTAAAGAACTTCCCGTCAGGAGAACGGCCAAAGCCCTTTAAGGGTCCAACCACATCCACGCTAAGAGAGTAAGCCATTGGATGCAACGTTGATCGGTGCTGGTGGCCCACTGCGCTGTTCCGAACACAGACCGAACAATCCCTCCGAAAAGGCTGGTGATTCCTGGCCACATGTAGCCGCCATTCAGCATCACTACTCATCTTTGCCACGCGAACATGCCGAACACCATCGTAGGCTGCAATCGAAACATCAATCAAACCCATCTCTTCCATATACTCCCGCGACTCTTTGCACATAGTCCATGGGAGCCAGGTCGTAGAGGTCGAAGTCGGGTCCTGACTTTGAAAAGAGGCAACCCTATCGAGATCCTCGACATAAAAGTGGACCGCCCCATCACCCTGGCACTCACGAGCAGCCGACGCTAGAGCATGAAGGAAGTGGACCTTACTTCGATGGGGGCCCGCAACAACCTGATCAAGGTGCTTCGCGGGGGCGTCCTTCGCAACCACAGTGCATAACCGCCCATCCAAGGCAGCCCACTGGATCACCTTCCACACATCCTCGAACTCCGTCTCAGACAACAGAGTGCTCATATTCACATACACCGCGCAACCCACAAAGGAGAGGTGCCGCATAGCGTCCTTAGGGCGCTCCACTGCTGGTGAGTCCCAGCGCACGATCCAATTTCTTGACCGAAGCAGCTTCTTTCTGCCCCTGCGGTTCACCCGAAGGACCTTCATCAGATCCCAAATTCCCTGCCGTGGCGTCTTTGTCACCATGGTATCCTTCACCAGGTCCTTGTAATCGAGGAACTCAGACTTGTCCACCGCTGTCCTAGCATCGAGAATGCTGCCGGACTTCACATAGCTCTTCAAACATGCCCACCAACTGGACTTGAGCTCTGAAATCGCCCTCACCGAAGTCTGGGTAGTCGCTTCAAGTTGGTGAAGCTGCTTTTCCTCGAGCTGCCTAATCAAACATTGGGCAACATCTTCACTCACTTCAGGACAACCATTCCTCACATTGAGCGGCAACACATCACCACCTGGGCCCACTAGCTCACATGAACTCGCCGTCCAACTCAGCTTGTAACCCAAACTGGTAATGACCTTCCCAAGCGGCACTATCACCTGGCTCATCGCATCTGTGCTCAACAAGGTGCCCGACTCATTTTGCTTCATCAGCGCGACAGCATCTCCCGCAAGTTGAACACCAACGCTCCGAGCGCTGTTCCACTCCCCTTGATCACGAGGAAGTCGCAAGGCATGAGTTGCCCCAGAATCCAACAGGGCCGGTTTGGCCGCTCGATTCGGTGCCTCAACGTCGTAGCCAAAGCATCCCAGGGCAGCGATCACAGGCTTGAACACCGGAACATCCTTGATGCTGTCCAAAACCCTGAACATCTTCGCCTGGATCTCGCTGGGCTCAAAGCTGACTTTCCTAGTGGAGTCCGCTGTAGGCGAAACACTCGATGTAGCTCCTGTATCACTGGCCCCAACTGGGCCTCCGCGCGAAGCTCCCTTTTGTCCAGCTTGGCCTCCTCCTGGTGCTCTGCATTCTTTGGCCTTGTGGCTTTGACCACCACAGTTCAAGCATTTCTTTTGTCGAACAAGCTTGTCCAAAAGGTTCCACGTATGGGGATATTTGCATTCTTTTCCTCGACGGCAGCCCTTCTCAGAGGCAAAGAACCGACACACGTTGTTGGGTGGTTTTGGAGTTGCGGGTGGAGTTGAAGTTGGAGGTGGTGGTGGTGTAGTAGAGAAAGTAGAACCCTGATCTGCCCCTGCACCCAGAGCCTTCAAGGACGTAAGCTCATCGCTCTTGGTCATTCCCAATCTCGCGTGCTGCTCCATCTCGGCCTGCAAGTGTTGACTGAAGGAGGTAATCGATTGGGTGCTGGGGCAAACATCAACTTGCAAGGTACTCCTGATCAAACTCACCCGGAACGCCAACTCCCCACTTCCACGGACCACTGCACCAGTGATGCGGTCAAGGCCACGAAGAAGTATTGATGGGTCAGGCTCAGTGATCCCGATGGTCACCGCTCTCCTCCGCCAGAGATTCCACTTCCGCAGGGATTCCACTGCTGCCAACGCCGTCTGGCACTCTTCCGGTTGCTCCAGCATCTTCAGGACGATGCTCTTCTCCTGCAAGTTGCCCGGCTGATACACCGAGTATAGCTTGCACAGCAAACCCAAACTCGTGACCTCGCCGCTGGCTATAACCTCATCTCTGACCTGCTTCGGCACTGCGCTCAACATCATCGCTGTAGCTCGCCGCTCTACTCGGGCCCATTCTGCCTTGAGAGGAGTGGCCGGTCTTGGTCGAAGCTGGAGACGAGCAATAGGCGACGACGATGCAAACTGTTGGTACCACTGGAGGACATCGTTCATAGTAGCTTCCCACCAAGCCCCACTGGTGTCACTGAGATCCTCCATCATAGGACCGATGTGTGTTATCCAGCTGAGAAGATCGATGCTTCCAGTGCCAGGTTGATAATCTGGTAGTAGAGGAAGTTCACTATAGCCAGGCTTCACAGCCTCAGGCCGCTCAGTGCCTTTCGTCTGGCTCTGCTGCAGCAATGCCTCAATGCCCTTTGCCAGCGTAAGAAGAACGCTGCCATCAGTCGCAACAGGAGCTCGTACGGCATCACCTGGAGCTGGTGGAGGTTGAGGAGGTTGTAAATGAAATTGATGTGAATGTGGTTGAGGGGGAAGTTGTGGTGGAGGTGGTATGCCTTGATCATAACCGCATCCATTCCCAGCTCTCTCATACGGTAGCTGAGCACTCGCTTCTCTGGAACCACCCAAGCCGAACAAGCCTTGAAAGAACGACCTCGGACCAGGTGACTGCGATCTTGGACGACTTGGCGGTCTATGTTCGATAGGAGGACCAAGGGGAGGTAGATCTGCGGGAACTTCTGGGAGGATTCCAGCGCCTCGTGGTTCTCTATCTACCTCAGGCACTGCCCCAGGACCCCGAAGTCGTGCTCCAGAATTCCCTTCAACTCCCCAAGGATCACGAGAAGATTCAAATTCACGTGGAGGTACTAGATCTTGCAACGCTCTCATACTCGAAGGACCAAGAGGAGGTAGATCTGCCGGAACTTCTGGCCCTGGGAGGATTCCAGGGCCTCCGTCACGTCCGCGAGGATGTTCAGCAAGAGCCCTTAGGCGAAGAGTTTCCGGATTCATTGTCATCCTGCTCTCCTGGGCCTCCAACTGTCCCCGTAGTCGCCTCGCTTCATCACGAGCCTCCTCGGTCCGTGCTCTCTCGACACTCAAACGCTGCATCACATCTCCCATGGCGGCCTCCAACTGACGCGCTACCTCTGCTTGCACTGCCTCTGCTGTAGCCCCACCACTACTCACCGAAGGCGCCCTTCCCTCATGAGAAGCTCCTGGCCTAGCCGTAGGCGACAATGATGAGTTTCCGGCGGGCCATTGCTGCGGCATCCCAGACGCCGTCTGTGAAGCTGACCACGAAGTAACCTCAACACGACGTTGAATGTAATCTCCCAATCGTGAAAACCATCCCCCTGGACCACGTGAAGATGCCTGCAAAGAACCCGAAGCTGGAGATTGCCCAGGAAGTGGCGACGGCACGAACTGGGGGAAGAGTGGTTCCCCAGAACGTAGACGCAAACTCACATCTTCAGAAGAAAACGCCGGTTGCTCTGCAGGAGATCCCAAAGTCTGCGGAGCCTCTGGAGACTGATCCATCATCAAGAACGCATTCAGATCTCCCGAAGTTTCTCCACGAACCTGACCCTGCAAGCCATCCGGAGTCCTAGTAGGCGCCTGGGGTCGTCCTTCAGCTGCCCGAAGGATAGGCGCCCTTGAAGGCGCAGGTTCATGGGGACCTGCAATCCCATTGGGTAACTCATTGGAGTGCTGCTGCCCTTGCGCATCTACAATTCCACGGCGATCACCTGCTTCATCACGATGATAGTCCGGACCTAAGTCCTCGCCGTCTAAGGTGGGCAGCGTTGGGCTCATACCCTGCTGACGCGAAGGGTTAGCAGCTTCACTCCCGCCCACTGCAGATTCTGCCATCAACACAGCAAGCGCTCGAATTGGCGTACAAATCTTTTTACGGAAAGCGAATGATCCGACGTGTTATGTCTTATGCACTGCAACTTGTCATGCTCTGCAAGACACTGTACTGCTGCAGCCTAAAACTGACGTCTCATGGCCCACTGGCCTTTGATCGCTTGGGCCTCGAAGGCCGACTTCATGCACACAAACGTGCCTTGGCCACATGTCCTGAGCGCACGCCTGGCTGGGGAGCTTTCAGCACCTACACCCTAAAAGAAGCCCCAGTCAGGTTGCAAGAGCTGCCCAGTTTCGAGGCCAATACAAAGCTACAGTTCCTGGATGTCTCAATGAACGAACCTTGTCTGGGCCAAAGGGGTTTGGGTTTTTGTGCTTTTTTGTTGAACACGTTTTTTTGTTTCGGCAAGCAGCAGATTGTGAGGAAGGAAGATGAAACACTTTGTTTTCGAAAGGCTTACAAGAGCAGCCAAGGATTTGAAATCTCTGCCCAGTTTAGCCAAAGCTGAAAGTCTGAAGTGCCTTAGGGCACGGACCAATGCTTTGCGGGGCCTTCCTGAACTCAGCCCTCGGGCAAGGTTGCTGGAGCTCACAGCGGCTTTCAACCAGATCGAGCGTCTGGATTTTACTGCCCCCGCCTTCCACTCTCTGATCTATTTGAATTTGGATGGCAACCTCTTGGAAGCTGTTGATGGCCTCGACTCCCTCGTTGACTTGACACACCTTTATTTGGCAAATAACTCCTTACAACAGTTGCCGGACCTTGCAGCAAGCCAACTGTTTGATCTTGATCTCTCACACAATCGCTTGCAAAGTCTCCCGTTTTTAGGGAGCCTCGGTAAGTTGCAGCTTTTGAATGCAGAGAACAACTGTTTGACATCTGTTCCAGGTCTAGCGAATCTGACCCACTTGAAGTGGTTGCGCCTGACGAACAACAACCTAACGGAGCTTCCCAGTTTGAAAGCATGCAGCCATATGAGGCTTGTGTCCGTAAGCCACAACTCGCTTGTGTCCATCGGACGTCTTCCGGTTTTTCTTGATGAGTTCAGCGCCGGGCACAACCGCCTGACACGATTATCCATTCCAAAGCAGATAAGAATGCACAGCCTGGATATTACTCACAATCTGTTGGAGGAGTTCTCATTGCGTCCCTTCGCCAAATCCCAGTTATTGTACCTGAGTGTTCGTGGCAACCGCTTGAAGAGATTGCCCGGCTTGGAGAATCTGGATGAGCTGCGTTTCCTCGATGCCTCCGAGAATCAACTGACAGAATTGCCGGCAGCTCAAAGGCTATATGAGCTGGAGGGCCTTTGCTTGACAAACAACAACCTTTTGGAGTTACCAGACCTCTTTGGCTTTCGTTTCTTGCAAAGTTTGGGCTGTGCAGGAAACCCTCTCAGTGAGAGACCGCAAGCCCCAAAGGAGATTGTTTGCGACTGCTGCGCCAATGCTTCCATGCCGGACACCCCGCTTCAACTTGCATGGTGCATCCGCAAAAAGCAGAGACTCCTTGGAAATCGGACGGGGCGTAATCAAAGAGGGCTTTGTATTAGTTTCAGCACTGAAAGCCCGATCCCAACTGAAGCTTTGTGTTGGTTTCCACTTTATTACGGTCATTTTACACTGCAGATGCCCTGCTGTGAGAATGCGTGGGCTTTAGCAGTCCTGTGCGACTGTGTCTTTGCTGTTACCAGTTGGGTGGTTGTCCAAATTAGGGTCCCTGTTTAGGTCCTTAATGCAATACGGCACCTACTATTTAGGGTACCCAAAAAGGGACCCTAATTTTGACAACCACCCATGTGTAGTCGCGGTCTTGCAGCTTTTTGCTCGCCTGGGTTTACTAGGATGCCTAGTAGTACCCTTATTCCCTTTTTGTAGTCCTAGGTTCCCTATAAAGTACCCAATACCAAAAAGAGAGGCCTTTTTATTCTTAGGTTACTGGGTATCCTAGTTTAGGTGCATCTTGTGCAGCTCCTCGGGTCTTATAATAAGTACCTATAGACCCCTGCAAAGGGATCCCTCAAGGGGTCGAAAAGGGATTTGTAATAGGGTTCTATATTCAGGGCCTTTATATATAGTTACCTATACTATTTTGGGGGGTTACATATAACTGTTATAGTTGCTATATATATATATATATATATATATGCAAATGGGTTACAGAAGCAAAAGGCCCTGAAACCTCGGACTCGGATCCATGATGCTCCAAACTCCGACGCGCGAAAGCCTCAAGCCGCCAGGCAGCCGCCGACAATCTGAGAATGGCACTTCACAGCGAGGCGAGTGAGCCACGGTTTAGGGTTTAGGGACAAGAGAAAAATGCTTACACAAATAGGTATGGGGAGAGGTATAGCTTAGATATGCCTAGATCGCATACACATGAAACACGAAGCAACTAATGAACACCACAGTATGTGTATACATATATAATCATATATATATATACACATACGTATACACGTATACACATGTATACATATAGTATATATACACTCATGTATGCACACTTGCGCACACATGCGTCTATAGAAGTATATAGACTCTCTCTCTCTCTCTCTCTCATATATATATATATATATATATACCCGTAAGCATACCTACTGGGTCTAAAGAAAAATGAAAGGGTTGGCAAACCCGAATACTTCGAATAAGTACTGTAACTTCACAGCACAAAACCAACAGTGTATTGCATAGCTGTGTTGATCAGCTACCATTCAGCATGTTTGTAAACTTGCAGGAGATTTTGCCATTGTGTTCGATTTTGTTAAAGATGATACAAAAGTCCTGAGAAGCATGAAGAATGTACTGAAACTCGCTTGTTTCGCTCGAAAAACACGGGCCTGCATTCCGACGCACTCTCTGTCTTTCTTTCTTTCTCTCTCTCTCTCTCTCTCTATATATATATATTAATATATATATATATATATACACACACACATACATATGTTTATACATAGGCACACTGAAATTCAATATCTACAAGAATTCACAGCTGCTGGTGGCATTGTCATGCATCGGTTGAGATTGGTAGTTACACAGGGGTGTAAACTGGTTTACATCATGTCTGTGTGCATAGTATTTTTTCTCTGAGGACAGAAGAAGAATGCCGTCTTCGTATGTGTAGGCTCGGGCTTCGCTGGTGCGTCTCCGAACACTTCGTCCGACCATTAAATCATATGGCGGGCTCCGACAAAAGGGGACCCTAACATAGTACCCTAAATAGTAAGATCCTTATTATAAGGACCCCAAAATAAGGTACCACTATTTTCGGAAGCTCCCATTTCGGGTCGAGGGTGAAGGGAGCTGACATGCACATGGGAGCTGAAGTACCTATGGTCTCCATTGTAGTTCCTTTTTGTTTAGTCACATGCATATTCGGGGTCCTATACGACAACCCGAAAATCTACAAGGGAGACGATAGCAGGATCATGGTATCCGGGTCGAGATTTTGCACTGGTGGCCTTTGGGTTTAGGGTCAGACAGACCCGCACTCCCCCTGGGCTTCAAGCTGCATGCAGGATCGACGGACTTGGCAAGTAATGCAGGTGCCTAAATCATCACGAATACTGCTATTTTAGGGCTCCCTGCTAAAGTTATAGTATAATATAACACTAAAACCCAATTCAGATTATTAAGGCCCCTGTAATAATTAAATTGCCAGGTGCAATTGTGTATGTAGCCCTTGTTAGTTCTTAGTGAATATACGTACAGCCGGTTCTGCAGTGAAGCACTCCCCTGGGTTTGGAGTACCATACTTGAATACTTTTTGGGTACCTGTTCCTTAAAGGAACCATTATGAAACAAAAGTCCCTGGGTACTTCAAAGTCCAGCTCCAGCCAGACTGCTTATCCCAACGATGGTTTTGGTTGAGGGCGAAGGGTCACAGACTTTGTCGGGGTTGAGTCTGAAAGAGTTGGCGAGGAGTTTGCTGTGTGTGTGTCTATGTGTAGCCACTAAGCTCTAAACCCTGAACCCTAAAAACTCAACCCTGAACCCTAAACCCTCAGCTCTAAACCCGCCCTGAACCCTATCGTAGCCGGCCCTGCGGGGGCCTGATGTCTACGGGCTGCAGGAAACGGGGCCCAGAAAAGGCAAAACCCTAAACTTACCCCTGAAACTAAAAACCTAAGTTAGGGTTTAGGGTTTAGGGAAACCCTGAAACTAAAAACCTAAGTTAGGGTTTAGGGTTTGGGGGAGCCTAGTTATAGTCATGTTAGAACTCCTATGGGGAGGTCCGGGCTTTCTTGCAGGTCTCTGTAGGCCTCGAAGCGAATTCTTGACCTTCTACTAGGCCGTGAACACCTACGATTAGGGGCCACATGACACATGGGTGGTTATCAAAATCAGGGTATCTTTTTGGGTCCCTTTTATAATACAGCACCTGGTATTTAGGGTACCCAAAAACGGACCATGTTTTTGACAACCACCCACATAAGTATACAATAATATGCCCCAATAGAAAGCCTGGCTTGAAGGTCCCTGGATTGGAAGGCCTCTATTGAACGATGCAAGGAGGAACCTGCTATTCTACGACAATATCGAGGTCAAAAGAGTCACAACTCCAGTAGACATGTAGTGTACCCCAAAACTCTATTGTAGTCATGGGCTGCTGTAGCCTCGAAAAGGATAGAGCCCTTAGGCTACCCGCAAGCACTAAACTTTAAATGATAGGGATCCTTCCCTAAACCCTAAATCCTGAAACCTTAAAACCCTAAAATCCTAAACCCTAAACCCTAAATCCTTAACCCTAAATCCTAAACCCCACCATACCCCTACCACCCTTTTTTGGGTCCCTATGATTGAAGGAGCAACTGCCCCCGAGGCGCTTCGGGGAGGCTCTGGCGGCTCTGAAGCTTAGGCTTACTTAGAGGTTAAGGGTGTAGGGCTCCATAAAGTCTATTGTTTAGGGTTTAGGGCTCCATAAAGTTTCGGGTTTAGGGCTTAGACTTAGATCCCCAATACCCAACCTTTTAAAGCATATTGGGTTGTTATAGTCCAGTAGGAATCACGCGTACAGCGTTCACGGATGTTGAGGGTTTAGGGCTCCATAGTGGTTCCTGTTTGGGGTTCACATTTAGAATTCTACAATGACAAGGCAATGCCAAAAAGGAACTTTCCTGGAGCCCAGGGATATGGGTTGGGGGTGTAGGGATTGGGTTTTGGCTTTAGGATTTGGGTAGTTGTCAAAATTAGGGTCCCTGTTTGGGTAGCCCTAAAGAATAGGTGCCGTACTATGATAGGGACCCAAAAAGGGACCCCAGTCTTGACAACCACCCATTTCGAGCTTAGGAGGTTTTGGGCCAAGTGCTGCAGGATCCGCGCATACGGTCCTGTGTCGGGCAGAGCGCCTCAGTCTCGGGTTGTCTCATTTACGCGAAAGGTTGCAATATAGTACCCTAAACAGCAGGATCCTTATTTCAAGGATCCCGAAATAAGCTACCCCCCAATCTCCAGAAGCTCCCAAATGGCGAACCTCGGAGCTGGAGTACTGAAGGCTTGAGTATTTATACGGGTGGTTGTCAAAATCATGGTCCCTTTTGGGGTCCTTATGATATTAGCCACCGATACATATACAGCAAACTGGATTTCAGCATATCCATCTTCAGATATTTAGGTTCATCTTTACCACCGGAATTTTAGTACGATCACAACTGCTCTTGCATGTTAACTCCTATATAGAGCACTACAATACCCCCAAAAGCGCCTGTACTTAGCTCACCCTATGAACCCTGTTTGCATCCTGCATAGAACACCCTGTGGACCTAGACCCTCAACCCTAAAACCCCAAAACCCTGAGCCCTTACAGACACCCTTATAGAACCCTTAAAGGAACCCTAAACCCGAACAGCTCTTCGGTCGGAGGCTTTGGCAGCTTTGTCGGAGTTGGGAGCCGACTTAGAGGACGGGCCATAAGGGGGTCTGGGACCCTACCCTAAACGTTTTAAACCCTAAACCCTGAGGTATACAGTAGAAGCCAGAAAGTTGGAATATCATTATCCTAACCCCTTTAAGGTAAATTATAGGGGATCCTACCATTAATCCATATTCCAACTTTCTGGCTTTTACTTTAGGGTTTAAGGATGTTCAAGGTTAAGGGCTCGGTTTCTCAGGTTTCGGTTGTAGGGTCTGGAGTTTGGGGTGTAGAGTTTAGAGTTCGGGGCTTGGTTTCTAAGGTTTAGGTTGTAGGGTTTAAGGTTTAGGATCGAGGGTTTAAGGTTTAGTGCAGGGTAGGGTTTAAGGTTTAGTGTCTGGTTTCTAAGGTGGAGGGTGTAGGGTTTAGAGTCCAGGATCGAGGGTCTAACATGTAGGCTTCGGTCTAAGGGCTACGGTTTGGTTTGTAAAGTTCAGGATGTAGGGTTTAGAGTTTAGGATTGAGGGTTTGTGAAAAAGGGTTTGGGTTCAAACCGAGACCTGCGACGGAACCTCTGATTCTAGCTATACCTTGCATGCTCAATCATGCAAGATAGGGAATTTCGCATGGCTTCCTACTCTAAGCCTGGGACAGAAGGGTTCCAAGACGAAATGCTGCACCAGAAGTGTTTATCAGCACGCCCCCGAACGGACGGATCAGAAGGTTTGCCCCGGTGACTAGAGTAGGGTGCGAGGTTGTGCAGTTTTCGGGTTTAGGGTTTAGGTTTTTCAAGCTTCGGAAGTCCTTTGTAGCATCAGACCTTTTGTTCATGGTAACCTGTGCTGCAAGATCAAGGTTTCTAAGGGGGGAGGCTGTATACGTTGTGGGCGTGTCAAGCTGCCTGAGGGTCCAAATAGTATATACTTTGTTCCCGAAGTACCTATAGGGGGAGGACTTTACGGTGAAGGTATATACTATTCTGGTACAGAAACCTTAGGGGTTAGTATGAGAGACTTCAGGACGTCTACGAGACGTTTCTTGGTTGCAGACTTCGGATTGCGGCGCTTTCCGATGTTGCCTTGCAGCTGCATGTCCATTTAACGTTCGCATGATCTTATCCCTACGCTTTCCTCTTAAAAGTATGTGCTGTGATAATTAATAAAAGCTTCCTGAGGAGGGTGAAGAATCAGGGGTTTCGAGTTGCGCAGTTCAATCCCCTACTTCTTTCTGACCCGTCTGCTTTCAGTGTTCGTGCGTACAAGCTGGTGTTTGAGCATAAGGAATCTTGAGTCAACCCTGAAACGGCAAACCGTGAATCCCTCAAGAAACAGAACTGGAAGCCTTTTCACTTCAACGTTTCTGCATGGCACCGAAGCCAACAGAGTTTGGTGTCTGTGCTGCAATATAGGCGTCTTACGCCTAGTTTGAACAGGGTTTCTCTCGTCTTTCTACTGTAGGGACTATACATGTAACCCGCCATAAACACCATCAAGCAACAAATAACAAATTAACAAGCAGGTTGTTGGGATGAGTTGGGGTTGCGGATGCTTTTCAGAACCTTCCAGCAAAGGCTATCGCAGCGCCTCGCCGACAACATTCTCTGGTGGCGTCGAGAAGATGGTCGAACGGAGGCACGGTAGAGAGAGAGAGAGAGAAAGCATCTCGAGAAGTCACTGTTCAGGCGATTGCACAGGCCTAGAGAAGCCCTCGAAGCGTGACCCAAAACTTCCCTGGGAAGGTGCTTTCCACGCCGGGCAGCAACGTTTCCAAACGATGCACAAACTGTGCGCCTTATAAGCGCCCGCAAAATTGCCAATATTATTGCAGAATTAGTCTTTAGGATTCCTTGAAAAATGACCGATCTCCTTCAAGCCCTGAACACAGAATCTTGCCAGCCTTGAAGCCCAAACCCCTGCACGGATTCTGCGGAGGACTTTGCATTGCTCTTTGTGAACAGGCCTGGACCTTGCAGTGACTCCTTTATTGGCTGTAAACTCAACTTTTCAACTTTTGAGGGTTTCTCATAAGGAAGTCGATTCTGAAAGTTTCAACTTTTGTTTCCTTGGGTTTTTGGGACAGTCAGACTCATGTAGAAGGTTACTGCTGCGACGTAGCCAGAGTAAGATATCGCCCTTAGCAACTTTTTTTACTCGGGTTCGGAGTTTATTGTTGTAGAAGTACATCTAAGGACTATAAGGTGATAAGATAATATGGTTGGTATTGATTTTTCGGACATCTACAGTACATTACATGGTCATTTGCTCCGGCCCAGAGATTCGCCGCGGAGGTTGGGGCATCCCTAGAACCCTAAACGCATTCTTGCCCTAAACCTCATTGTGGGCCATAGCCCGAAGGGTCTTGCGCGTTCCGGGGCTCCGGTGGAGGGCCTATAGCCGCTAAATCCCTAAACCGCATATTGTTGGTCATAGTTAGGTAACAGTTTTATGGGCACTTAAACCCAACAGGAATCGGCTCTGGGTTTAGGGTTTAGGTTTTAGGATAAACCCTAAACCCTACTTGGAGGATCATGGGACTTAGTAAGTCAGGTTATAAGTACCTTAAGTGGGCTTATAAGTGCGTATAAGTATAATTACCTTCTTTATAACCCCAGCTACTGAATCCCATGCTCCTTTAAGTATCCTATCCCAACCATGAGCTGGAAGCCCTTCCCCAGGTGGTTCTTCGATCTTCTGGGGACGCGCGTGGGGCAAGGCCTCCTGTATGGTTGGGTTTTCTGAATAGTTCCTTGAAATTACCGGTACCTTGTTTTGGGGGTCCTTATGATCAGGATCCTACTATTTAAGGTACTACATTAGGGTCGGCTGTTTTCGGAAACTCCCAAGAGTCTTTCCGGTTTCATAGCACCCTGTTTCACAGTCCTAAGACCCTTCAGACCCATTAACGCCGTAATCCCTAAACCCCCAAACCCGAAATTAAAGAATCTTAAACCCTAAACCCCCGAAGTCCATCTGAATTTCAGAGATATGAGCGCGCAGAGTTTTGTGACCCCGTCTTCACTCTGCAGGGTGTGGGGTTAAGGGTTCAGTAGTGGAGTCTCTGCCTCAGAGCTCTGCAAGGACCCAGTTCCACATTAGTTTGCGTAGTATTTCTGCATTAGGAGTTCAACCCCAAGCCCAAGCCCTCAGCCGCCTGTGCACGGATTTCGGTGGGAGGCAGGCTCCACAACTCGGTTCTTTTCTTGCACTCAGGGTTAGGGGTTTAGTGGGTCTCGTCAACTGGTGCTCCTTGCAAGTTCCAGATTTCAATGCGCCTTGGACGGTCAGATTGCTCGGCCTGAAGACGACCGCTGCTTCTCTATCCATGAACTTAACCTCGAACATGGCCCGAAGCACACCTACCGGACCTACCGGCCCAACAGAACTTGGACCCAGACGCCCCAAAGCGCGATCTGCAGGCAAATGAATCCTGCCGTATCTGGAATACTGAAGCTCTAAGTCAAACTTGAGAAGCACCTTGCAGCTTACAGCCGCTTACCCAGAAGCCCCTGGAGACAGGAACTCAAGAGTTTTGAGCGCACGCTCAGCGCAGTGAGCTTGAAACCCTGAAGCACCAGCACACCCCCAAGACCCTATAGATCCAATACAAGGCCTCAGCATCTACAGGGTGTAACATACGGAGGTCTGAAAGATCAAGAATTAAGATACACGGCCCTATTTCCTATTGTTTTTGTGCTTACTCTTCTCCAATAGGCCCTCTTGGAGAAGAGTAAACTGACAACTATAAGAAATAGGCCCTTCTTTGAGTTCTCCAATATGCCATATTGGAGAAGAGTAAGCAAACATTTAATTTTAAGGGGCCTTTTCTGTTCTAAAGGGTTCTATAACAGGCCGGGCCGTTTTTGACCTTGCTCCGGCGGAGCTTCTGCGGGACAGGCTTTGCAAGGAGCCTCTTGTCTTGCTTAGCCGTGTCCTCGGGTCTTCCACCGGGGCCCCTGTTTAGGGTATAGGGCCTATAGGGGGTTAAAGCTTGAGGTAAAGTTAAGGGTTTAGGGTATAGAGTGTGGGGAGTACCGGGCGGTGGTAAAGGCCCGATGCAAAAAAGGGTACAGGGGGTTAAAGTTTAGGATTTAGGGCATATATGTTAAATTTACGGGTTTAGGGTGCGAAGAGGTCAGGGCTCGCAAAGGTCCTCGGTATATAACATCGATGGCAGGGAAGCTCGTTCCGGTAGATTCTTCCCTGTGCCAAAACCAACGACACCCACGGCTTAAGCTATCCCTTGCTTTACCATATAGACCCTCAATCCGACCCACCCCCCAAACATGAACACTATGTCCCTAAATCCGAAACCCCAAGCCCTCAAAGCCCAAAAGGCTTCAAGCCTAACCCTAATACCCTATATAGGTATACATGTACATACACACCCCACAAACCCTCAGCATAAAAACCCAAAACGTGGCAGCGACGATTTCGCTGCCGCGCGGGAAGGCTTCCAGATGCCGTTCGTGCACCGGGAGATCTCGCCAGGCCTCGCATGGACAAGGGGCTTTAGGGTTTAGGGTTTCAGGGTTTATTGTTTAGGGTTTTAGGGTCTAGGTTTTAGGGTTTAGGGTTAAGGGGACAGGGGGCTTTAGGCATGGACAAGGGGCTTTGGGCGCCTGGGGTTTAGGGTCTGGGGTTTATGGTTTAGGGTCTAGGACCCCTGAGCCCTAACCCTGAAGGTGATTACTACCCATAGACCCCAAAGTAGTTCCGTTTTGGGAATACCTTATAGGATTCTATATATGAACCCCAAAAAGGAACCTGCGAAGCCTGCTAAGCTTTACAGTAAACCCCATGAAGTTGGACACCGGATTAAGGCCAAATAGTGCTGGGATTCCCTATACACTACTCTTCAGGATTGAGGCTATTGGGTTTCCAACTTTTGGGCTTCTACTATAGGCGCCTGGGGTTACGGGGTCATGGGGGTGCAGGGTTACGTAGGGTTATGTAGGGTTATGGGGTCATACGGGTTTCGGGTTACATAAGGTTATATTATAATGTTATGCGGTCATAGGGGTGCGGCGGTCTAGAGGTATGGGGTCATAGGGGTTTGGGGTTACATAGGGTTACAAAGTGTTATGTAGGGTCATGGGGTCATATGAGTGTAGGGGCTGTAGGGGTCTAGGGTTATAGGGTCAAAGAGGTTTATGGGGGTATATGCTCATAATTTTTTGCAGTTATATAGGGTTATGTAGATTTCTATAGGGCAGGGCTGTAGGCATGCAGGGTGAAAGAGGTATTGGGGTAAGAGGGTTATAGTTATGGTTACATAAGGTTATATAGGGTTATTTGAAACGCTGTGCGTCGTCCGCCTCGGCCCGGCTGTATGCGCATGCGGCGAGCCCCAACACATAAAGATGCTACATTGCAGTCCCGTGTCGTCAAAAACTCCAGAAAGCTCGCACCTGTCAGCGAGCGGAGGAAGGGGGGGGGGGGGGGAGGGGGGGGGGGTGGAGGGGTCACTGGGGAGGGGATTAAGAGGTGGGAATAGAGGAATCCGAATAGGAACCTCTGACCGCTTCGGCCGGCCGAGGCGAATATATATGTTTAGCATTATAGGGTTACAGGTTTAGGGCGTTTAGGGGGGTTACGGCAGTTACGGTATAGGGAACCGTATCAAAGTCAAAACACTCGAGCATAAACGTATAGGTAGCTAATTAGGGGGGAACATGAGTTATCCCAACCTATGGTTTTGATTAGATGCTGTTCTCGTCCCGAGAATAGGCGTAGTAATAGTCTGCAGTTTTCGCATCTTCAAGATTGCAGTATGACATACCGCAAGATCCTACTCCATGGACCTTACATAGGTCCGAACCAGAAGCTTGCAACAAGCTTTGAGGGTGCTAGCTTTGGGTTTCGGTGAGTCTGGGTTTAGGGTAGGGTTTCGAAGTTCTCCATCGCAACATAGTGTTCACATGGTTGCGTGGCTTTTCTGCTAGCATTTGCGGGCATAGATTCATGGTACCGCCCTCACGTTGGGGTAGCCCGCAACCCCGAGCATGTCCAGTCGTGTGGGAACATAGGGCTTGCGAGTGGCAAGCTGCAGGTCTCCAGTTGTTCGGGGTGTACATAAATTGGCCAGTTAATTAAGAGCACGGAAGTTAGCCCCTAAGCCCTCTAAACCCTGTCAAGAACCCTAAACCCTTAACCCTTCGCTATGCCTCGCCTGGATTGTCCGAGTGTGAGCGCCGAAACCCTTCGCTGTCTACCCACTGGGTTCATGCGTCGTGAATACCAGGCGTCGTCCTTTGCTGTTAGGCGCGCATTGCGCGTGCCGTTGCATCGCGGATGGCATCCGCTGAGCTGCCGATCCATTGGTGTGACGCTGAGATACCTGTTCCGGCGACACCGAAACCCTAAACCCGGCATGGGTGCTTTCAGGCGACAGGCAAGAGAACCAGGCGGCACAGGCCATCATGCTTGCATAGATGCGCACACAAGGGTCCTTCTTTCCAGGATAGTTACACGCCCAGCGGAAACCGCTTTCTGGACCCTTGCGACCTGCAAAAGGACGTCCAACAAAAACCTAGCCCTAATAAACCCTAAGCCGTTTGTATCGTTATGTCTCGGAACCCTATAATTAATCATGTAGCGTTGACCGGAGGCTTCCTGCGCAGATCCGCAGCTCCAAATCCCAGATCTAAAGCTTTTCCCAAAACTCAGTAGTAGAGCTGGGGGCCCTTATACACGAAGCCCCATATAATCTCAAAGGTTACCCTGTAGTTCCCGTTGTGTAAAAAACTGGACTTATAAGTAAAACACTGCTGTGCAGGCTGATCCGGGTTATGGAGGCCATGACGATGAATCGGGCACATCGGCCGATTCTGTGGCACCTTGCCAGCGCTTGGGCTTAAGGCTTTAGGGTTTATAGGCTTAGGGTTTGAGGGTCTGAAAAACGTATCATTAATTGAGTCCCCCCCCAAATGGCTACAAAAACGCCGTCGATGGTAATATAGCGACAAGACTCTACTAGATAGGCAGCTTGGCTTCTGGGGAACATCGGACTCCGACAATGGAGTTGAAGCCCAAACTTCAAGCTTTGAGCAAGCGACCCGTAACCCTAAACCTTGTACATCCCGTGAATAATTTGGCGAAGCCGCTCCTCTTCCGCGGCCCTGGACTCTATTTGCGGATCATGTGCATGTACTAGTTTGTGGTAGGGATGTAGCGGATCGCAGCAAGAAGGCCACGCGCTCATTTTCTGTAGACTTTCCATGCTTGGCAGGCACGCTTTCCTCGCCACCGTGTCCCGCGCTGTGCCTTATGAGGCCAGAGATGACCAGATCCCCTCTACCCAACCTTTAAGGTTCTTATAATTTTGTAGGATTGGGGGAGTAAGGCTATATAGTAGAATCCCTCGAGCCCAAGAGCCCTGACAGCCTGAAATTGCACGGGGTCGAAATTTCACATTCTAGGCGGCATTGACTTTGGCACCCTCATCCCTATGCCCCAAGTTGGGCCTTAAGTAGACAAGGGACTAATGCTCCTTGGTTTTCTTCCGAGCGGGCCTCTCCCCAAATCCATCTCCCACCAACCACCTTCGATTCGAGGGGTCCCATATCGCAGCAGTCCGTTCTTTCTCCATGGGCAGCTGGGCTGCGGAGGTTGGAGGGTGGGTGGGTTGAAAGGGCGGGGGGTGGGAGTGGTGGTTAGCTGGAGGCTGCAGGGAGGCTGGAGGCTGGAAGGTTGAGGGATTGTTCACGGCGCTTCCGGTAGGTTGGCTTGGCATGCCATACGTGGCTACCTCAGCTGCTGGAGCTCATGAGGCGTGGAGCCTGCTTGATGTGTGCTTGAGGTTCATCCCTCCCTCCGTCCGTGCGTGCATGGATGCCTGCCTGCATGTATGAATGCATGTATACCTGTGCATACACACACATGTATATATATATATATATCTATCACATGTATACAAACACATGTGACATGATACCGCAAGGTTGGGGGACGTGTTCAGCTACGGTTCAGACACGGAAGCTTTGGGATTGTGAATCTTACGCAGCGGGCAAGAGTTCCTCGCATGATGCTTTACGAGGTTTAGTGTATGTATCATAAAGGGGCCCTGAGGGGTTCGGTTTAGGGTTTAGGGGTTAGGGGGGTAAGGGGCCCCGATTTCAGGAAGAAGCTTAACCTAAGACGTCAAGTATTCAAAAGAAATAGTACTCACACCATGGGGTCTCACTTCTCGAATCAGGACCTGCTTTGCACTGTTCGGCGCCGTAGATTACGTTGGTAGCTGAGTAGGTAAGCTTTATTCTGTTGAGGCTTATATAATCCTACCATAATTGACTCGGACGCGGAGTAGGCCCTTATTCCTTTTTGTTTGGGGGTTTAGGTTCCCGTATAAAAGTTTAAACCAAAAAGGCACCCTTTTATTCCTGGGTTACTGTTAGGTCTAGTTAAAAAGGTTAATCTTTTTGGGCTAGGTATTCAGCGCCAAATTCAAGGTTTCCACTCCCAGCCTCAAAGCTCCAACACCCCAATCTCAGCTTAGGGTCCCCTGTACAAGGAACCCTAGACCCAGATGCCCTAAACACTAAAACCCACAATTACTATACAAAGGAATCCGCAACCCAAAGGCGGGGAATGTCTCCAGATTTTGTCTTTAAGACAGATGTAGGTTCGATTCAGTTTTGTACCACAACCTCCCTGGGATCAAGGACCCCAAGTCGTCTTTGAAGCGGACTCGTGGGGGGTGCTGGTATTTGCTCCTTTGAATTTGGGTCGGTGCTGAGTGTTGGTAATTACGCTCGAACAACATTCGCCCTCTAAGAACTACAGACCTCTAGGCGCTAGAGCTTTCCCAAGCCCGAAACCGGATGTAAACCACGTTAAACCCTAAACCTCTCAATAGTATCCGAAACCCTAATGCCTGGTTCAAATCCCACACCCGACAGTAACAGCCCTAAGCCCAAACTAAACCAATGTAACCACCGATCACATGATGATGACCAGGCGCTCGCCCTTCGCTCGCAACAAGGTGTTAATGGAGACGGCAGCGCGCATGGCAGGCAAGTGTTATACTTGCTATTCTTGTCCTAACTCTAAACCCCTGAACCCTAAACCCTTAAATCCTTAACCCTTAAACCCTGAAACCTAATCCCTAAGTCCCGAAATCCCTAAGTTTAATCCCTTGTCATCATTGTCATTCTGCTCTCTTGACAACCAGACCAGCCTGCAGGTTCCCCCACCCCCCCCCCCCTACTTAGCAGGCTTCGCACATTCTGTTGTTCTTGTTGATGTTACTACTCTTATTTCTATTACTGCACTTCTTAATTGTCGCTGTTATTCTTCGTCATAGCAGCATTCTTGTTTCTCTTCTTGTTGCTAGTATCACCAGCGTTGCTATTCATGCTGTTGTTGAAGGAGAAACCCGCCTACACCTTAAGCCCTTAAGGGAACCATGTTTGGGCACATGGACCCTTATGTACCCCTAAACCCTAAAAGCCCAAATAGAACCCTTTAAAGGAACCCTTACAGGCACCCTTAAAGGAACCCTGTTTGAGTACATGGACGCTTGTTTTCGTCCCTGGCGCAGGCCCGGTGATCCAAGCTGCACCTGGGCCGGAGCTCGCCAGGACGGGATGCCATCAGAAGCCCAAGGCATTAAGCCTCTTCCAAAAGCCTAAGATCCCAACGGCTCCTTATGTACCGATAGTGTACCGATATAGTAGAATGTAGGGTCTCCATATTAGGAATTACTATCATGACTTAGGGAAGTATCCCCACGTAACAGTACAGGGGACTCGGTTTAGGATAGTAGTCACCTGTCGTCTCCATTGTAGTTCCCTTTTTTGGTTTCACCAAGTCTATTATGGATCCTAGAAGGTAACCTCAAAAAGGAACTACAATGGAGACTATAGGTATTTATGTTCAGAACAGCTTCCTGTGAGATTTTAGGGTTTAGGGGGACCACAAGAAGCCCAAAGTTCAGAACAGGAGTTTCGAGCTTAGGGCCTTTAGGGGTTTAGGGTTTGGGGTTTTATAGTCTGTGGTTTTAGAGTTTAGGGTTCGAGGGTTTAGAGTTTAGTAATTTAGGCGTTTAGGGTTTAGGCTTCAACCTACTCTATAGGGCCCTAAGTATTTACCAATACTATTTGTGGGTTCCTTATAGTATTTATAAAAAATGGGCCCCAAAAACCCTATTCTAATTATTAAGACCCCTATATTTTGAAGCCCAAAGATCAGAACAGTTTCCGGTGATGGTTGTAGCAGAGATTAGGGTAGCCACACAACTACTGTAGCTACAAGACTGCTCCAAAGCCTAGAACCTACCGTTGTTGGGTGATCCATGGTATGATTTCAGTATATATGCCCTTCAAGATCTAGATCCCCAATACCCAACTTGTAAACTTTCTGGGTTCTTATGGTTTAGTAGGAATCGGAAAGAAATTAACCTCCTATGTCTCTGGTTTATGGGGGGGTAAGAAAGCGTAGGTTCTTTAGAGTCCAGGTAGAGACCTGTGGCGCTCAGGCCCCTGAAGGTTGGCACTTCGTCAGCCGAAGCCCTGCAGCAGCCAGCTAAAATTCGAAGAGCTTTCGGACAGTTGGGCTTCAGGGTTTAGGGTCTAGGGATGTTTAGGGTATAGGGATGTTTAGGGTATTGGGTTACTGGATGTTTAGGGTTAAGGGATGTTTCGGGTTCAGGGATTGGGCTTAGTATAGGGGCCTAAATAGTTACGTATATTATTCCTACCGTTATAGCATAATATACCCCCCAAACCCTGTTCGAATTATTCAGGCACCTACATCACCTGTCACCCCAGAAGACCGGCAGGTTCTTCGCAGTAGGCACGCTCGGAAGGCCACCACCACTGATCCAAATATTGTTTAAAACAATACCCGCAAATGTGTCGGGGGCTTTGAGGGCTGGCGCTAAACTCTCAATTCTAAAGCCTAGAACGCTAAAGTCCCTAAACCTCGATCGCATAAAGCCTAAACCGCTGAAGTCCCTTTGCAAGAATTCCCGGAGGATGCTTCAGACGCTTGTGGGGCTCCGGGAAGAGTCCTTTACCGAGGCCGAGAGGATGGCTTGAACAGCATGCAGTGTAATGTAGGAACCTGATTAAGAAACCCTGGGTCTACAACCCCAAAATAGTAGCATTCATACAAGGAACCCAAAAAAAGGGGGCAAGGTTTCTTAATCAGGTTCCTACATTATTATACTAACCCGTATAGATCCCTTATAGGAACCCTGATAGAGCCCTGTAAAGGAACCCCAATAAACGCCCAAGGTTTCTTAATCAGGTTCCTACCCTAAACTTTACCCCCTTTAGTATCCCTCAAAGACCCCTTTAAAGGAACTCTGAGCCCCAAGGTTTCTTAATCAGGTTCCTACATCACCCGATGTACTCAGTTTAGGGTGTCCGGAGCCGGAGCCGGGCCGACGCTCGAACCGGGTCCAGGGTTTCGGGTTTAGGGCTTTAGGGTTCCTTTAAAGGGATCTATAAGGGTTCCTGTAAGGGATCTATGGGGTTTCGGGCTTAAGGGTTTAGGGCTTAGGGCCCCAGGCCCGGCACGAGTCAGGCGTGACGTTGCACGGCTTTCCGTGCTAATCACGACCCAAGCACAGATGTCAAGAGCTGGTAGCCCATTAATTAGATATAATAGCATATGCCTTCATCGCAAACCAATACTGTATCCTATGCTGCAGGCCCTTTTTGCGACTGGCCCAGCGACCTATCTAGTAGGCTACTGGCTCTTAAGTCACTGGGGCCATGGTAGAAGCTGGATGGTCGGTTTAGGCATGCCTTCCGTTTCGGGTTGACGTTCTGGTGCTTAGGTACATGGGTAGTTATAAGCACGGTTATACGTCCCCCAATACAGCTTATAAGTATAGTAACCCTACTTATAACCCTACTTATAACTACCCTGAACCCTAATCCCTAAACCCTAAACCCTATAGATCCTGAATCTCCAAGCAAGCTAGTCCTGTCCAGGCAGTTGTTCAGCGGCATGCCGCCGCCTTGGAAGACAGTTCCTCGCCTGCAAGCCACACTGCACCTAGAGCCTAGAGACTCCAATATCCCTTAATCAAGGAATACCTAGGGTTCCTTTAAGGGATCTATAAGGGATCTATAGGGTTTAGGGTTTAGGGGATTCTAATATCCCTTAATTAAGGAATATTCTTAAATTATGGTAGGATCCCTTATATGATTTAAGGTATATTCCTTAATCAAGGGGTATTGGAGTCTCTGGGTCACCGGCGGGCTTAAAAAAAAGGCCCCATAGTAGTTCCTTTTTGGGGTTCCTTGACAGAGCTCCTTAAAGGGGTCTAAAAGGGATCTATAGTAGGGGTCTATAGTATAGTATAGGGGCCATAATGTACCAAGAGGCTCCATAGTAGTTCTTTTTTGGGGTTCATCTTTGGAATCCTATAAGGTAATCCCAAAACGGAACTACTCTGGAGCCTATGGGTAGTGCTTTTTTCCTACCCCGAACCAGATCTGCCAACCTTAAAGCCCCTACCCATCAAGTTTGCCTTTAGCAAACGTATTGAACCCGACAAACCTCACTATAAGCTGTTGCAGGACTGCTGGAACCGTCAACTCTGGGAAGTGCGCGCGTTGCGACGCTGGCCGCCCTAGCGAACGGAGGTTCAGAGCCTGGGGGATTGGGGCTACTAAGGGGTCGTCCACCTAGGCTAGACCCGTTCCTGTAAAGGATCCGATTACAGATTTCAGATTCTATAGGTTGTTTTCTATTTTTATTTCTGAAGTTCCCTTATGGCGGCTTTCGAACTCAGTGGATCGCAGACCGTGCGCCGCAAACTCCGTACGATTGCTGCTTTGCTTGGTATAGGTCGTCATGTTGTACAACCTCAGCGAGCTTTACCCAAGCTCCCTGAGCCTTGAAAGCCACTAAAGTCGCACTTTCACACCGCTTCTTTTGTGTAGCCTCGCCTTGCTTGTGCAAGTGCTGAGCGTTCAAAACCCCTTCCATTCCGTTGGTCTCAAGTCCTGCAAGTAGGAAGCCCGACGCCCTAGAAGCCAATGCCCAAGACCGAGTACTGTTATACTTTGTTGTACTGAGTACTATTGCTATGATTTCTATCACTATTATTACTATTAGCATCTGTACCCGTTGTTATCATTACTACTATAACGGCTATTGTTGATGTTACTGCCGTGATTTGTCAAAACATTTTCTTTAACCAGTATCGGTTTGAGCACCATACTTACTATTGCTCGTACCCTTCTTCTTGCTACTATTACTATTCATATTACCATTGCAATGGTTTTTAAAGCCCAACTCCTAAACCCTAAGAAACTAGAAGCCATACGCTCGAAGGCCTAACCTCAAGCTCCTGCACCCTCAAGGCGGCACGGGCGTTGACACGCCGTGGTGGCGCGAGCGCATTCTGAGGCGCGCGGATGCGTTCATGATCCATCTCCCTAAGAGTTCAAGTTGGGAATGGTACCAGAACGTCCTTGGTGTGGTTTGCACCTTCTTGTGGGTTTTATGGTTAATTAGGGTTCTTGGTAAGGAGGACAAGGCTGAAATAAAGAACTACCGGCCATGACCTAGGTAAGATGGTAAGCTCCGACGCTCCTAGATGGAAGTTTCCGAAAATAGGGATACCTTAATTTAGGGTCCTTATAATAAGGATCCTACTATACTTACAGTAGTGTATTAGGATCCCCTATTTTCGGAAACTCTCAGATGGGGGGCCCCGTTGAGAGCTTTGGGCCAGTCTCCCGCGCGGAGCTAGTTTTGCAGAACTCTTCGTCATAGAAGATGCAGCTCAAAAGGCATCCTAACTTTTCCGAGTCCCAGAACCTAAACCCTAAACCCTAGCAGACCTGGCCAGGCTTGTCCGAGTATGAGTGTCGAAAAGAACCACTACACCGAACCCTAAGCCCTAAATGGTACTTTTTTGGGGTCCTTACAATAAGGATCCTACTATTTGGGGTACCATATTGGGGTCCCCTCTTTTCGGAAACTCCCAAATCAATCACAGGCCCTGGGGGGCGGAGTTGCGGCGCCTTGTCGCTGCTCTGCGCCAGGGGCCACGTCGCCTGGGGCGAGGCCTGGGTGTGAGACATCTTCGTAATGTAGGGGCCTTAATAACTAGAATAGGGTTCCTTGCAAGGGATCGGTAAGGATTACTGTAAGGGGCCCATAAGGGGTATTATGGGAATTTATGAGAATCGGGCTTGCGGGTGTATTATACTATACACATAATAAGGACCCCCCCCCCCCCAAACTAGTACAGGTAGTTATTAAGGCCCCTAGATTAGCTGAGTAGGCAAGGTCTTTATGTCGGGCTCTTGATATGATGCTGCTATTTTGGGGTTTTAGGGTTTTTACAGCCCTACCATAATTGAAGAAGTTAACCCTGTTTGGGCTAGGGTGCTCAGCCCCACAGAAATTGAGGTGCGGACCTGAAAAGGAACAAGGCCTAAGCGCATCTCCATTTTCAGTTTTTAAATGTGGCAGTTTTTGTTTGAAGGTTTCCATGAACTTTCCAGTATGGTCACAGATCGTGGCTTGAGGGTTATAGAGGATCTATGCTTCTAGGCAATGCTTGCATTACCGATATGTTCCGTGTAACTAATGTATACTGGGGAACAGTCGGAGGTCAGGCGTTTACCCTAAACCCTAAACCCCTAAACCCTAAACCCCTAAACCCTAAACCCTAAACCGATTTAGGGTCCCTTATTGCTTGTTTTTGTCGCAGTAGCCAGGCCAAAGAGCAATGTGACCACAGGATACTGCTGATGGGCAAAATCCTGCATGACTCTAAGGACTCTAAACTATGGGAACTATGGTATATTCCTTATAATGGGTAATGCAGGATTTTGTCCATCAACAGTAGGTGGATGGCATCATATCAGTTGCGCTGCGAGCAGTAGGACCTGTTTAGGGTCAGAACTCGGTCGTTTCTTGGGCTCCCCCAAACCCTGGAAGCTCATATAGAACCCTGAGCCTTAAAGGCCCTGAACCCTAAACGCTCATAAACTCTAAACCCTCAACCCTAAACCCCTGAACCCTAAACTTCTAAACCCTAAACCCCTAAAACTCAAAGTCCTTACTAAACTTTAAACCCTTATAAACCCGTAACCCCCTAACACCTAAACGCCTAAACCATGGAGCCCGTGCTATTCCCCAACCGTGGCTCTTCTTCCACCGCATCTCCCCCGAGCCTTTAAGAGCAAGGTTTTGGGGGTTCCATAGTATTACCTTAAAGGGTTCTAAATATGAACCCGGCAAGTTCGCTGAGATTCTAGGTTTCTCTTACGTTTTTTTGGGTTTAGGGTTTTGGGGTTGAGGGTTGAGGGTTTATAGGTTCTGTTAGGCCCAACTCTCCTTGCATCTAAGCCCAAACTTCCAGAGGAGAATCCCCAATCCAAACTTTGCCAAGTCAGAACCTGCCCTGGCAGGCACATATGAGTCCGAGCTGATACAGATGCAGGTGGATCAGTCAGTTGTTTCGGACGTGATGGATGTCCTTGCTTCAATGACGTGTCGAGCTTGCTCCTCAAGCCTACACCCGAAACGAGTTCACGCATGGTTGCTCGTAGGAAAGGCCCACCTTATTCCGGTTACACAACCCGAAACCCTGAACCCCTCCTGTGTGAGCGCCGAAACCCCGAAACCCCTAGCCGAACGCAGAATGTGGTTCAGACCATGCGGGGTTTCAGCCGGGAGCTTTAGGATCCCCATGGGCTTTGCCAAAGGATCTTGCATGGTTTTGGGTGTAGGGTTCACCAACGAGGCTCCATAGTAGTTCCTTTTTGGGCTTCACATTTCGATTTCTGTAAGTTAATCCCAAAAAGGATCTACTATGGAGCCTATGGGAGATCTTCACTTCTGCTTCCAGCTGCACAGGAGAGGTTTGATCAGAATTTGGGGGTTCGGTGATGGGCCGGATTTCTGAATGTAATTCCTGTAATTGCCTGGCTTCAAGACGTGTCCCGACAGATTCACCCGGTCAGGCTGTATGTATAGTCCAGGTCGTCGCGTAGTTTTGACAAAGTCATGTCTTCCGACTGTGTGAGTTGGTTGAGAATCTACTTCAGAACGGCAGAGTGTGAAGGTCAGCTGCGCGGAGAGCGCGGCGTGGTACGGGGGTTGAGCAACATCCATTGCTTTGGGGAAGCCTCTAGTGTCTGTAAGGATTATAGAACTATACACTACACGATGATCTCATATCGAGCTTGTCCTTGTGCAACTAGACTAACTAGAGCTATAAAATATCCCCGCAAAACAACGCTACTTATTAAGGTCCCAAAAACCCAGCCGTAAGCCTTCTTCTGATTAACCTTAATGAAATAAATCCCTCAACCTCTAAACCCTAGACCTCTAGAGCCAAAGCCCCTAAACCCCAGAGACTGCAATGTCCCTTAATTAAGGAAGATTCTTTGAATTATGGTAGGATCCCTTACATGGTAAGAATATTCCTTAAATTACTGTAGGATCCCTTTTGTGATTTAAGGTATAATTCCTTAATTAAGGGATATTGAAGTCTCTGGGACCCTAAACCCTAAACATCCTCAACATCCTAAACCTTCTAAACCCTAAACCCCTAGAGCCAAAGCCCCTAAACCCTGAACCTGATATCCGCCTGCTGGTGCAGTTGAGCGACGTGGGCTCCAGGTGGCAGCCCGGGGCCGCTGGGACTGCAGAGAAAGCTCGAAAACTTAGGGCTTCAGGGTTTAGGCGGCTCGAAAACTCAGGGCATTGGGGTTTAGGGGTTTGGAGTTTGGGGTTGAGGGGTTTAGGGTTTAGGGAGCGAAATAGTTCCCAACATCATGCGCTAGGCTTCCTTGCTATGACTATACTGGGTATACCTGAACACGCGTTCCACAAGTTTACCGGAACGATGCACGCACAATCAGCTTCTTGAAAATGATTTCCGCACACATTTGCTTGAGCTCGGGCTCATGTTGAAGCTTGTGCCTGCTGCAAGAAACTGCTTAACTTCTGGACTGAGCCGCGAAATCTTGCGCTTAGATGTCCTCGCCCTGCCCGAGTGATTTTCCAGTACAGCTACTTGACATTTGGTTGTTGAAGTCTGGTTCGATGTCGCGCAGATTGATGACAGATTTTCCAACAATGGTTGAACGAATCGCTCGAAGCTTAGATGAACATTTATGAGATGTACAACTGATTGGAAGCTTGGATCGCACCAGACTCATGTCCGCAGACACCTGAACACCCGATTGAAATTGGTGTGGCCTCTACATTACCAAGGGTGTAGGGCTCACCAAGAGTGAAGGGGTGGGTGTGCGGAGTATGCATACACTTCAACTGTAGAGAGTGGTGGGATAGTCATTCGTTCCATATTCCATAATTCTTGTTTCTATTGTCATGAATGAGGGTGCGCTAGTACGGACGAAGCAAGCGTCGCAGTAGCCGTAGCAGTAGCAAGTAGCAGTAGCAGCAGCAGTAGCAGTGGTGGCGGCAGCAGGGCAGCGGCAGCACGGCAGCAGCAACAGCAAACATCAAACCAGCTAGAAGTCGTGATCGTTGTGGCCGCCATTCAAGAAAAGCACCCAGTTCCTACTGCCTTTTGCCTTGAACCCCAATGCTACTCAAGGCGGCAAATATCCTGAGATGCAAGTCTTCGGTTCGGAGTCCCCAAGTCTCCTCACTGCATTGACGGCTCTAATGTGCTTCGAATGACGGCAAATCTACTCCTGCTGCTTCTTAGTCTCAGCTTCATCGCGGCATGCATGGTAGCGAACTAACACGGCCGATGTACTAAGTCCGAAATCTTAAAACCTGCACAGCATCTAGGTACTCGGTGCCTTGGGGATCCCATCTCCGCCACGTTCCTTTGTGCTCAAAGGGGCCCGTGCGGTGCTGAGGCACCAAATCCGGCTTTATGCTGAGGGTATGGGTTTATGGTCTATGGTTTGCTTCGCAGTGTCGCTCTCAGACAAAGGTGAGGTGTTCAGGGTTAATTAGTTGCTCTGACTCTGATGGTTGCACCCTAAACCCTGAACCTTAAACCTCGATGCTTTCTTCGAGATCGGAGCGCTAACCGGACAGTGGCTACGGGCTGGTGGCGATTCTGCAAGTCTGCATAGTTCAATGTGACACAAGCATTTAAAGTCTGTTGCTATAGTTGCGAACTAGAACTGACTAGAATGAGTATTTAGACTCTTGGAACTCCACAAACTTCCGCCTGCAGAGGCTGCAACCCACGACGGCCAGTGCGTCGCAACTCATACGTCTTAAGGATTGCACCGGCTCCTCTGAACCAGCCGTCAGCAAATCTGTCCCTGCATTCCGAAGCCTCCGTGAACTCGCAACCTCGAGCCCAAACCTGAGAAGCCGAGGAAACCACACCTGCAATTTCTGCCATAAACGTGTGGCCGGAGCAGAATTCGAGACTTCAACTCAATGCCGAAACCGGCTATCCTTTCAAGGGCACAGCTCTACCCATAGGCTCCATAGTAGTTCCTTTCTGGGGTTACCTTGTAGGATTCTTTTTCTGAGCCCCGAACAAGGAACTACTATGAGGCCTCTTGGTATTATGGCGCCTATACTATACTATAGACCCCTGCTATAGATCCCGTTTAGAATCCTTTACCCTCTAGGATTCTATATATGAACCCCAAAAAGGAACTACTATGGGGCTACTATAGATCCCTTTTAGACCCCTTTAAGGAGCCCTGGCAAGGAACCCCAAAAAGGAACTACTATGGGTTTTTTTTTTAAAGCCCACCGGTGACCCAGAGACTCCAATACCCCTTGCTTAAGGAATATACCTTAATTCATATAAGGGATCCTACCATAATGTAAGGAATATTCTTACCATATAAGGGATCCTACCATAATTTAAGGAATAGTCCTTAATTAAGGGGTATTGGAGTCTCTGGGGAAGGCACAGGCGCCAGACCGACGCATCGAGCCCGCAGCTGATCTGCATTGAGTTTGTCCTCCCTTTGGGATCTTTTTTAATTTCCCGTACTATTTTGTAGAGAACCAGAATCGTAAATTCTGTCCTTCTCTGGGTTCTCCTTTCTCTGGGGCTCCAAGTATACAAAGAGTACCTACTTTGGGGACTAAAGTCTATAGATAATACCTACTTTGGGCTATTTGGAGCCACAGGGCTTAATTTCCCCTACTAAAAGGTAGAGAACCAAATAAAGTAAGTCATTTTCAAGAGGCTTAAAGCACAACTCAGTTTTGCTTGTCGATACAGGTTCCTGTGAGGGTTCTATGCAAGGTTTCCCTGCAAGGGTACTGTAGTGAGGACAGGAAAAGGGCTCCTTTACGTCACGGTTGGGCTTAGGGTGTAGGGGTTCCTCCTAGGGTGTTACAAGGGTCTGGTAGAGGGTTCTAGGATTTGAGAGTCTAGCTGGTGAATCCAGTGACCTGCTGTCAGGGCTATACCACTGTTTTCATTAAGGGCATCGTCAATGGCTTTCTTGTCGGGTTTGGGGCTACAGGTTAGGTCCAAGGTTCAAAGGTTGATACGGATCATAGGTCCTCGGTTTAAGAGATTCGGACCCAGACAACACCCCACAGGCCCCCGGTGAGGCAATTACCAGGCATTCTTAAAGCCTCTGAACAGAAGCCCCTTAGCAAATGACATTCCTCGGCCCCAAAACACCAAGCACCCCAAGACTTTCTTGTACCCCTATACAAACTGTGATGATTCCGCGATTATCCGGTGATTAATTGTCGCGCGATGGCCCTGTGACCTGAGGTCACGCCTTGATCACGGGCACCTTAAACTTTAAGCTAATAAACCTCTACCAAAATATGAGGCAACCAACCCCATGGGTAACCAGATTTCCGGAATTATACAAACCATTCGGGCAAAAGAGGTCAGTTTGAACAAAGCCCGAAAAAGCCAAGAAAGAGGTGCCTACACCAAATCCCTTAAGCAAAGAGAAGACTCTTTCAACAAAACAAAAGAACGAACGATGCCAGAAAGGTCCCTACACCCTCAACTCTAATCTAAACAATAAACCCCGTAAGCAAACACGACCCCTTGGAGACAAAGAATCAACAAGCCCGAAAGGCACCTAAATCCTTTAAGCAAAGAGCTGGATCCTTCGAACCAAACAAAAGAACCCTAAGCCCTTTTCTGGCTTGTCCGAGTGCGAGAGCGTACTATAGGGGCCTACATAATTACCACTACTATTTTTTGGGGGGGGTTCCTTACATGAATATATATATATATATATACATATGTTATATATATAGAGTATAGTGGACCCCAAAGCCTTATTCTTGTTATTACGGCCCTTAGAGTAAACCCCGAAAAGGTGGGCTCTCCGAGCCTTGGGCTTCCTCTCCTTCCGCCTCGCCTGGTCTTCGGGACAAGCCGTGGAAGGCGCGAGGCACCAGAAAAGATTAGGCTTGAAGGGTTTGGGGGTTTAGGGTTTAGGGTTTAGGCTTGAAGGGTTTGGGGGTTTAGGTATCTAGTGCGCTGATAGCGCGGCAACACCACAGGAGGCCTGGATGCAAAAGGGTATCTATAGGGTATAACTTCACAGTCCGGATGCAAAAAGGGTGAAGGGGTTTAGGGGCTGTGAGGGTTCAGGGTTTGCGCAGGGTTTAGGGGTTGTGGGTTCAGGATATACAGGGTTTAGGGGTTCAGGGTAACTTAGGGTGTAAGGATCTCAGATAACTTTAAGGTGAGGGTTTGGGGGCTTCGAGTATCTAGGGTTTAGGGTATTTAGGGTTTAGGGACACGCAGTGCCTGGGGTTGAACTTAGCATGCTGTGTTTTGTTTGTGGTGCTTTGGGTTTCAGGGCTTTGCGTTTGGAGTCTTGTCTTTGGTTGCTGATTAAATTCCGTTTTAGCTTCCAATCAGGAACCCTTACTTATGAGTAAACAATCCCTGAATGAAGAGCCGTTATTAAGCACCCTTCAAGGAGACCTTAAAGGAGCCCAATCTTAAAGTATAACCCATGGCACAGACGGCACGCTCATCTTCACCGCCGCCCGGCAGATGCAGGCAGACGAGGACGCATCTCGGAGCACGGGTTTTGAGAACTTCAATAATCTGCAGGGCCTCCGGTCTTACCTTTGGTTAGTAGGGAATGGAGGAGTGGGGTACAATTATAATACAATTATAACTACAATTACTACCATTCTTCCATTCCCTACTAACCAAAGGTAAGGAGTGTCTTGTGCACAGGCATTTGGGCCTTTATGTGGCTTAGTGTGTAGGGCACAGAGATTTGGGCCTTTAGCGTCGTAGGATTCAGGGCAGTAGGATTTCGGAATTTTTGGGGCTATAAGGATTTGGGTGTTTCATTATAGGGTGCACCGCAGGGTTTAGGGTTCAATGGTTTGCCAGCACCCCGCCCCCCCCGTAAACAGAAGCCGTGGGTACGTAGGCTCTCATAAGGGGTACTTATGGGGGGAGTTGGTGGGGCTTAGGGTATAGGCTTATCGGGGTTCGGTAGCAATTTTGGGGTTCAGAGTCCAGGATTGGGTGTTTCGGGTTGACGAGATTGGGTTGTGACGACTCGCTCGGGGTATCGCAGGGCTTAAGGCACAGAGTCTACTGCGTGGCGAGTTTATGCGCTGGGATTCAAGGGTTTGAGGAACCAAGCAAAGCAGGTTTTGGGGTGTAAGTCGCGTTCGAAATCACAGGGACTATTGCTGCGGACACGGATTCATCTCTGACTCAAGTCTGCTTCTTGATGGGAACGCCCTGTGCGACTTTGCTCTCAATCTGGTGTTTGGGCAGACTTGTGGCACTTCTTTGGGCGTGCTTCTTGAAGCTTTCGAAGGCCCGTGCTTTGGATTCCCGCGCCCCTCGAACCTGGAAAGGGCTCGAAAGGTTGCTCACGCCCCCCAGCCATATGAAAAAACACATTGCAAATTTTGCACCGAACCCTAAACCCTAAACCCTGAACCCATATCTAAAATACCTTGCAAATTTTACACGGACCAGGTCGAGCTTATGTCGGTGGATATTGGGTTCCTGGAGCCTCGGATCTGCAAGTGCTGGTTTAGGGTTTAAGGTTCAGGGTTTAGGGTTGGGGTTCGGGGTTTAGGGTTCAGGGTTTAGGGTTCAGGGTTTATGGTTTATATAGGGTTTTGTAAGCTTTCGGGCTCGGTCGTTCCTGCCGCCATCACCCTGCACGGATGATATGATATGCTGGACGTTAGGTGCAGACGGGAACTACTTCGGACCCTGCGCTGTCAAATTACATTGCACTGTATCATATTCTAGTATGTTATGTTCTGAGTATTCGAAAATCTGACATCGTTTATGTTTTATTGTATCATACTGTATATCTATCTATCTATATATATATATATGATATGATATGATATTATACGAAAATATCTTAATAGTGTATCGTGTTATATCATACTATATACTACACTGTGCATTGTATTTTCTAAATAATACCTTTTGTTATATTGTACTAATTAGTTATACTATGTTATAGTATAGTATACTGAAGTATGTTGTATTACGTATTCCAGTATGCTATATCTTATAGTTTTTACAATTTTCTGATTTTTGAATATATATATATATATATATATATATGTATATATGTGTGTGTTAAGCTTTATCTTACTGTACTATAGTATATTCTGATCTGAGCACCGCAGTCTAGAGCCCAACCATCTTCCGATTCCGAGAAGTTCTGCACCCCTCCTTTGGGTTAAGTTGAAAGCCTTTTTCGAGGAAGTGTCGGCACAATGCTTTGACTGCGAATCGTCCAGGTTTTGATAGGCATGCCGCGCATGATTACCCTAAGCCAAGCCTCATGTCTTTGCTTCGCATCGGGCTTCGAGTGTACAGGCTCTAGGGTTCATAGTCGGCACCTAGATGACTTCAGAATCCTAGTGCATTTTACTGATCGTTTGTTGGCTTTGATTGAGGAACCCTACGAACACTAATCCATGTGTGTTATCATCATGCCATGTCCGATTTTCGCGACTTCTTGGGGGGTCTTCAACTCAGAGGCTTTCTCGTTTCTTTATCGAACCGCGGGTAATATGTCCCGAGCAATAACGAGATGCAGCCCCTTTCTTTGCATCCGAAGGCTCGGTGCTACCAGACCCCAAACCTTATCTAAATACTAAGCAGCCGAACTAAGAACCGTAAAATCTCTATTAAGGGGGACTTGGGGGGGTGTTATGAACTGTATCTTCATCCGAGGATCGGCGCTACCGCCGTCACGGCGATGTCGAGCGCGTGGCACTCCTTCGTACTCTGGCTGCGCTGCCGGCGCGGGAGAGGCCCGGAACTAAGCTTTTGTAGAGTTTGGAAAGGTTTCTGCAAGAGTGTTGTATAAGTTCTATAAGGAATTATTTATGCAGGTTTGTTTGGTTGTTTCGGTTTCGGGGCTTCTCTTGTGATTGTTGGCTTTCTGCTGTTGTATAGGCTTTCGGGGTTTAGGGTCGGCTACGTCAGGTTCTCGTTGCGCTTTGGCCCCGTGGGAAGATACAGTCAGCCCCAGAACACCACAGAGCCCGACGTAAAGGCCACGCAAGCTCGGAAATGTCGTTAACCCTAGCTTAACCCCAAATAACCTACCTCTCTAAGGTTCCTTATTATATGAGTCGCCACAAAGGTAGGCTATTTGGGGGCCAGGAAGCCTTACCAGTAGCTTCAATCGCGGGTTTCGTTTCTGCTCAAGTGCAGCTCCCTCTCTCACCGTGTATGGGATTGGCATCAAGAGCAAACTGATCTAAACATATCCAAACCACAGCACGAAACCCTTTATTGACCGGAGACTCATTTTGATTCTGATGGGGGTGTGCTGGCTGGTGATAATATACACCTGGGGTTCTTGCGAAGCGTGGAAGTGAGGAAGTGTGTCAAGCCTCACCCTGCGCCCCGAAACCCCCTGAATGTGTTGAGAGGTGCCTTGAGACGGTAGTCAACCCTTTGGTAGATGTTACTGACCCAAATGAGGTCGCCTAGAGTGTTTTCGGATGTGCTTCGGATTGCCATTCTCTTAACCTTGGCCATGGGCTTATAGGATTCAGGGTTTAGGGAGAGTGAGTGCAGTAGCAGAACAGGGAGAGTGAGGGGCAAATAGTTTTAAACCGCTAGCGCCATGAGGACGACGGTGACTGGCACAGTCGACCTGTACGTCGACCGCGCTGTTTGTCTGTCCTGCTTAGGCGGGATGTGTGAAGAAAAGGCCTAATATAGTACCCTAAATAATAGTAGGATCCTTATTGTAAGGACCCAGTATAAGGTACCCCTAATTTTCGGAAACTCCCTTGTTTAGTTTTCAGAGCTTATGGGCTATGAGTCGACCGCTCTTTCTCTTGTGCCAGCAGGGCGTCTAACTAAGCCCACTTGCCTCAATTAGTTGCACTCCGACCATGTAGAAAGCAAAGGAACCGCACGTTCCCAACGGAGTCTCAGATGTCGCCGTGCGCAGATCATGCCACATTCAATTGAATTTTTGTTGCACGGCGCTCGCATAGAGAAAGCCACCCTGAGCTTTTATGACATCCTGGTGCGAGGGGCAGCACACATGCAACACCACTTGAAGGTTGATGGGACTTGGTAACTGGCGTGTTATCGCCAGGGCAGCTACGCTTATACAGCGCTAATTAAGTTACCTACAACCATGCTTACAAAGTCCCCTGATCCCTGGAGCACCCTAAACTCCAATCTCTGACAGGCATTCTTCGCCAGTTTCATGAACTCCTACCGAAGGTGGAGGCAATATTTCAAGAGCTCTTTAGGGCAAGGGAAGGAACGGGCTCGTTGGCTGGGCGGCGGTTCTGAAGAATTTGTTCGCCAATTTCGCTTGTTTCAGTGCGCACTTCATGTCGAATTCGAAAAGCTTAGCTTTGTGCATTTTCAGCCCGAAGCAGACAGGGAATGTATTTGTGTGGTGATAGTGAAGAAACTTGGCAGTGTGGCGAGGATCTGGGGGATGGCACGGCAGAGAGAGAGAGAGAGAGAGAACATCAGCGGTACATTTATCCTATGAGCATTAGTCTTCTCACCATCACTCCCGCAAAAAACTCGCAGCTTTCACCACTCTGCGGACCGAACCCACCTCGCCAGGATAGTCCGAGTTGATATGCATCATATAAATATATACATACATACATATTCAATATGGTCCTGAAGAGTGTGTACTTAGGCTCTGATAATGGGTAGTCAAACGCAAAACCCCCTAAACTCTCAATCCTAAACCCTCAACCCTTGGTGCCTTAAACCCTAAACCCCTAAACCCCTAAACCATAAACCGCCTAAACCCCTTAAACTTTAAATCCTAAATCCTAAACCCCAACTCCTAAACCCTAAACCCCCTAAACCCTAAATCCTCAAAGCTCTCTTGTTCCAGCTCCGGCTCGCCGTCGCCGGGCCACCTTTCTTCCGACACTTCGCAAGCCGGCAGAAGGGCGGCGTGGAGCGAGAGCCGTGCCGGGACTCGGGGGTTAGGGTTTGACTCGGGGTTCAAGGGTTAGGGATTTAGGGTTTGGGGTTTAGGGGTTAGGGATTTAGGATGTAGGGTTCAGGGTTTACGGTGTTTTTCAGGGGTTGTACTACTGCACAGGAGTACGTTAAGTGTTTGTTGAGCTGTACAAGGGTCCAGGGTATTTCAACGTGTTTGGGGCAGGGTTTATGCCAGGGTGCTACATTGGGTGTATACTATATCTATGCATGAGGTTCAGGATCCATAGGGTTCATGTTGTCGGATTTCTAGGCTTAGGATGTATTCGGGGGCTTACCGTTGTGGGGGCCCCGTTGCTCCAAACGTCGAGAGAATTTAGGACACGCGAAGGTTGCGGCTTGGTATTCAAGGCGTGGCTGGGTAGTTTCTCGCAGGGAGATGCCAACCAACAAGGGGTCCCAACTTCGGATTGGGGTTAGGATGTAGGATGAATATGGATGACTTCTTAAAGCGACAAGGGAAACTTGCTCAGATTTACAAGGGGCCCTAACCCGGCTGTGGCTGTGAGAGTGAAGTGCCAGTCCTCATGTTTGGCTCCCTTTTCGCTCTATGCAGGGGCATGGGACTAGGGGTTTTTGTGTCATGCAGCCCTGAACCTAAACCCTAAACCTAAACCACCGAAGCCCTAAACCATGGGGGCAGGTTTACCATCGTGACCCAACAGCCCTGGTCAAATAACCTTACCTCCACATGTTGCAGGACACCTCGCTGATGGAGGGTGACATCCGCGCCTGGGTGACTCGGAAGAAGATCTGTGATACTGATGATACGAAAAGTACAATACAAATTTCGAAACCTTGCAAAAAGTAACAATAGTAATCAGTAATACGTAGTAGAAATAACTGATATTGAGAATAGCAAGAAAAAGAATACTGATCATAATTACTCACGTTCATACCTTTGTTATTAACGATCTTGTTAGTCATTCCGGTGGCCTCGAGCGCACTTACGGCACAACTTGCAAAGGGCCAGTAGATCCGAAAGTTGCCTTCGGGCTATCACGAGGCTATTGGGTATTACGAAGGGCTCCTATGTCCTAAACCCTTAAAGTGCCACGTGTCTGTCTGTGTATGCCCGAAAAGCCCTAAACCCTTAACCGCACTAGCCTGTATACGCTCTCCTGCATACAGATAAAACCTGCATAAAATAGAGCCGGCGCAGGATCCCTTGCCCTTACTTGGAGCCTGAAAAACCGGGATTTCTCAGGGTTCCTTGTTAAGATTCTTTTGTAAGAACCCTTAAAGCAGGAAGCTATTTGGGGTTAAGGAAGGCCAGGTAAGGCATGTACTCTCCTGTATTGGTTCTATAAAGGTTTATAGGGGTGCCGCAGAAGCTCAAGCATGAAGCCTTTTTGGGCTTGCGGGGGAGGCTTCGGGCTTCAGGACAAGGGATGAGCTTCCCTAATTCTTAGACCCTACAGTAAGCGCCTCATCCGACGCTTGGCTTCAGGATCCATGAAGACGAACGTCGCACGCATAACTGCCGGCTGCCGATCGCTTTCTCTCAGGACGCATGAGGGTTTAGGGTTTATGGTTTCGGGGTTTAAGGTTTAGGTTCATGGGTCGGATTCCTTTGAACCCTCTTGATCCTGAGTTCTTACGGTGGCATGGCCCTGAAGGGGAATCCCTTTACAGTAGAAACATGTAGAAACTCCACATTGCGACAGCGTAAATATCATGACCAGTGCCACTTCTTTTTAGGGTTTCGGTCATAGGTATACGATACCCTCGTTTACCTAAACCCTAAGCCCTATAAAGACTATAATGTATCCCACAACCCTATTCTTACCATTGAAATGACGGCGACTGTGCTATCAGCCCAGGAAGGGAGGCTTTGGTATACAGGCTCGGTATCTGCACGAAGGCAGCGGTGTTGAGAGCTTAGGTTCAGGGGAGGGTTCCGGGCGAGAGAAGCCTGCACAGGGCGGGTTTTGAGGATTCTGTGGAGATACCGGAATGCTGCAAGGCTTGTAGGATTCATGGCTGAAGCATTCGGGTTCAAGCTTGTGAATAGAGGCCTTGATAATTAACTATACTATTTTGGGGTTCATTATGATAGCTAGAGTATGGTATCATCCCCCAAAGCCCTACTCTAATTAAGGCCCCTATATTAGAATGGTGGGATTTGGACTGGCGGAACTCCAAGAACTCCCCTTCACGAGGATAGAGAACCTCTGGCCTTCCGTGGTCGAGCGCGCTCACCGGGCGAGGTGGAGCTCAGGGGCTTCGGGTATGGACCTTGGGCAGGGCCAGGGCTTTTCGGGTTTGGAGTTTAGGGTTTAGGGTTATAGTGCCTTACAACGGGGCTGCGAGTTTCATGGGCGCTGGCCGGCACCTCAGTCCGTGCTGAAAGGGTGATAGAGCACTGTAGGGTTGTAGGATCCGGGCTTAAAGGTTAACAGAGGAGTTTTGGGTTTCGAGGATGTTCCCTAAACCCTGACAGCCCCAACCTGACAGCCCCAACAATCAACCGACCCGCGGTGGGGAATGCGCACGTGTGGCTCTGGATTCTCTGAGTCTGAAACTCCAGGTTTTTTTGTTGAGGCGGAAGTCGGTAACCCTAATTGTAGAAGCCTGCATAATCAGTAGCACTCTTCCGCAGGGTTCCTCAATTACTACATATCCCCTTCCCTCTTAATCAGACTTTTGTGCCGCTTTTCCCGAAACAGTGGGAGAGCAGCAAAATCCCTTCGAGCCCGAGGGATTTCACCTTAAATCGCGCACCCGGAATCTCGAGCTTTGCCCAAGCTCTCGTACCTGAAGCCCCAACAAACCCGACATCATTGAATCATTCAGCCAGGTGCCTGGAGTCCGAGAATTTCTTGGAGGAGGAGGAGGAGGAGGTCCGAAGTGAAGCCCCGGGCACTGCTAGACGCGCATGGCGGCAGGGACGCATCGGCGCCAGGAAGATCGCTGGTGCCCAAAGTTTTTGTGCTTTCTGCTGGGAAGCTTGTGATTTCTATGCATTGGTGAGCTTATGGTTACATGTTAGAAATCAATAGGTACCTGGGGCCACAGGCATAAGCCAACAACCTCGAGCTCTAGACCCATAAACCCTAGGGATCTACGGACTCGTGTATCAAGGCCTTTTGGCCCAAAGACCATACTATAGAAGGCCTGTGGGCTACTTTGACCCAGGGAAAGACAGTCCATTGCGCACCAGCGCGCGCAGGAGGATTTCCCGGGGGGTCAGGGCTTGTGGATCGAGAAAAGCCAGCCTGCACTCCTAAACCGACAAGCTGAACATGATAATAAGGGGCCTGGATAGTTGGAATAGGGATTTTGGGGCCCAATCTGCTATACGTATACGTAGGAACCCCCTAAATGGTATTGTAATGATTTAGGCCCCCTATATTAGTTTTGTTCTTTTGGGGCTCTGAGGGAGTCGTGGGGATCGCACGACCACTTGTCTCATCCCATGCAGGGCAGGTTGAGGGCGCAGGCTGTGGTGCACTGGCCTTCATGCATTCCTCTGCCATAGGCCCTGCCCTAAACCCCTCGAGTGTCACAGATGCAGCTGCCACCTCGTATGCCGCGTGGAAAAAGTGACCGGGACGGAGTGCTGCACTGAAAGGAGGCAGGCTTTCAGCTGGAAGAGATTCGGGTCACAGGCAGAAGGCCTCATGAGGTCTGGGATTCTAGGCTTGGAAGGGATTGTCGGCTGAGCGTGTAGAAGATTTGGGCTGAACAGGGTCTAGGGGCGACGCAGAAAGCCTAAACAAGTCACGCTAGAGCCGGGTTGGGCTAGGGTTGAGCATGCCGTAGCCTCAACGTGAAGGATCAGCACGAGGAATGTTCTAGGGCTCCAATTGCTATTGAAGAAGGCCCTACACCCGCCACAAAGGGGAGATCCCTAAGACTCCCCCCCGAAACTACACGGGGGTGGCGATTGAGACTGAGCGAGTCTTCGTTTAAAAGAGTCTGTAGCTCGCTGGGTGATCCTTGATTAGAGATCCCGGCTGGGACCCTCGGAGAAGATTGTGCTGTCGACAGGAAACTGATGTTGCCAGGCTTAGAACAGCATATTATCTAATTACTACAAGGGCAGGCAGCCGTGGTTTCAGTTTATGCGCCATAAAAACCCAGTCTACACCTCCAGACTTATCAGGAACCCCAGAATTCCTTTGGCGAAACCCGTGGTTGCCGCAGTTGATCCTAAACCCTGGAGCCCTAAACCCGAAATCCTTAAACCCTAAACCCTACTTTTTTGATCCTGAACCCGGGAGCCCGAGTTGCTTCAGAGTGCAAGAGACAAGGGTAGGGCCTCGGAAATTGGAGCACCGGCCGCATCGGCACACAACTTGCAAGCACTTAATATAGAAGCCTAAATAATTACCAGTATTATTGTTAGGGTTCCTTCTTATGATTGTAGCATAATGGGCCCCAAAACCCTGCTCGAATTATTAAGGCCCCCATATTAAGGTAGTGCGATGCTATACCCCGAAGACATTAAAACCTAACCCCGACACCCCACAACCGAGACACTCTTCCATGAGGTCCGGGGCTTCCTTGTCGACCTTGGTCTCTGAGTACATACCCTCCATTCGAAGGCCTGGCCTGCCAGGGCGTCCAGGATTCCTAAACTCCTAAACCCTAAACCCCTAAACCCTAAACTCTAAACCATTAGGTCGGCCTCAAAAGCTGGGACGACGATAGCTGGGTTAAAGGATCCCTTGCATGTGGCGAGTGAATTACTTGCTACAGGAGGGGCAGGTGAAGAGTTCTGAATGCATATGCCCAACATCGAGTTCACATGCCACAGGGTGGAGCGAATATGCCATACTAAAAACTTTGTTTTAGTGTATTCCACAATAGAGGTTGTTTATTAATGCCATACTGTCATGATTAGAATATTCCCAAATAGGATCGTTTAATACTGATATAATCTCATCAACGTCAGCCGCCTTAACCCCCCCCCTGGTACCCGCTCCCACGGCCCTAAACCCGTAGACCCCTAAACCCTAAGCTCCTAAATCCTAAACCCCCACAAGGCTGCAGCTGTTGTCCATGCTTGGAGTCGTCGCCTTCACCCTAGCCTCCCTCACGGCCGCCACCAGCAGCGTACACGCCTCCGAGCCGCAGAGGTACTCTAGGGGCCTTAACAATTAGAATACGGTTCCCTTTATAAAGGGTTCCTTAACGGGTTCTATAAGGGCTACTATAAGGGTTTAGGGTATAGGGGCCTTCACAGTTAGAATAGGGCTTTGGGGCCCATTAAAGCTATAATTCTCATAAGAGGCCCTACATTACGGGCAGTGCCACTGGCACCACTAGTGTGGTATCTAACAGCAACAAAACGATAACAACAACGACAAGGATAGCAACACAATCATCGACGATCGGGCCGCCGGTTTTCGACGGTGTCATCATTCCAGGTTTGGGAGGATTCCAGCAGGCTTTGCATGAGCAAATCAAGACAAGGTAGGGCTTTGGGACATTTTATATTTTCCCTTATTGGGCTTAAGAGGATCTTATTTACGAATATTTTTCAAAGGCTTTAAAAGCCCCACCTAGAAGATGAGGGTCGTAGACCTTCTGCAGTCCACTCAGGTTTGCTTTTTGAGCTTCTTGCTGTTCGAGTTCTGCGTCGGCATCTACTTCCCATCCGTGGGCACCGTGAAGAGCGAGCTGGTTCCAGACACTCGGCAAGAGCAGCACCGAAATCCTGGAAGCCACATATAGCATAATCAAGAAGATGCGGGATTTAGGCGTTCAGACAACCAAGGCTGCCAGGCAGTTTCCTTTGCTTTGCATAGTGTTTGCGGTCGGGTGTGTCCCGAAGGCGACAACTGAATGGCAAAGGCTTCTGCAAAAATCCAGAACCTCCAGCCCGAAACCAAGTATAAGCCCTAAAGGCCCTGAGCCCTAAAGGGCCTGAAGCCGTACTCGAATTTGCTCCATGGAACCGTCACGCCGTCAGAGACTTGTCCGGCATCAAACTGGCTCATGTCTTTGCTACACCATCTCGCCTCTTAAGGAGAGGATCCGCGCAACCATGTGTGGCCCCCCAGAAGCTGTGGCGCTCCAGGCTTTCGTCTAGATTTGATGTTTTGTTCGTTCAAGCCTTAGCTGAACACCAAATAACTTACCTTGTTAAGGCTCATGATTATAACTTCCTTATACAAGTCCCCAACAGGGTAGGTAAACCCTATAAACCCTAATCTTATTGTGGGTCTTCGATTGCGGCAAGTCTTGGCGACACTCAGAGATCCAGAGATCCCCATGCAGACGGTCATGCTCCTCATCCCATCGAGCTCTGCGATCAAGCTCCGACCTACAGGGTGAGGGTTTACCTTAACCCTGAAGAACCTAGCTTTTTAGGGTTCCCTATTATGAGTTCCTTATATGAGTCCTTAAAAAGGTAGGTTCTTCAGGGTTAAAGTAGGGTATAGGGTTTAGGATTAAGGGTTCAGTGTTTGAGATGATTGTGGGTCGTGGACTGGCTAGACTTGAGCCCAG